GACAAAGAGAAATGTAGAAAAGTAATTAATTCTATTTTCAACTTCATTTTGTATATGTATGCACAATCTCTAAAGGGAGAAAAAGACCTTACTGATTAGAATTGTTTGAAAAATTTTATGATGCCATGATTTGAAATTGTGGTTAAATATGTGTTCCTTGACAGAACCCATGGGCATAACTGAATGTAAGGCTTGTCTTTAGTTTTTTGAGGGGCCTATATTTCCTTACTTGGTAGTCACCATTATTAAATGTTGGCAAAGGAAAAGATGTCCAGATTCTGCCTGAAATCCTCATCTTCCTCATTCCCTCTTCATTTCTATAAACTGTGAACTAAGAAAAGGATCTGAAACTCATCCCCCCCATAGGTACTATTGATTGGCAATAGTCTGAAATGATGCTGCCAACAGGAGAAAAAGTTTATATGAAAATATGCATTGAAGTGGTTCCATTTTCGAAGTAGACTTAAATGATGCATAGAGAAAAATCATTTTGCTGTATTAACATATTAGCTATGAAAGACAACCAAAAGGATACGAGTAGAAATGTCATGAGATACAGAATTGGAAAATGAAGGAAGGAGCTCTCACCAAAACGCTGTTATAGTTGTTTTATGAATACAATAAATGTTGTTACTGCCTACAATATCTAAACTTGTGATTCAGGTAAGTTTAGAACAGGATATCTTTACTTTCTCCCTTCCAACTGAGATAGCACAGTATAAAGATAGGAATGCTTAAAAAACTAGTAAAGAGAAGATCTCTATTCTACTAACCAAACCAGGAGACCAATGGTTGGCATACTTAGGTATAAAGAAGCTTAATAGGGTAGAGACATATGACAGAAAGAGAATTTACAATATTTCATAATTTTAATTAAATTTTTTCTGATACAAGAATTAGCTTAAGTTATATAATGTAGGAAATAATTTGGGATGCATTTTTCCATTTTGAAGCACTATACATAGCCAAAATTTTTCTCTAAGGATTGTTCTTCCAGTATTTATCTCTTGAAGAGACAGTTATCTAATTCTTAGATAGGTTTCTGTTTAATTTCAATAATAGCCAAAATATTTTCAATTTTATATAATCTCCTATGTATACATAGTTAAAGAGAAAAACAATGTGACCCTGTAGACATTGGTGTCACACTCCAAATTTAGAGCCAAAGTCTAAATCTCATAGATATACAGGAATCAGGCATATATTCATGTGACAAGCACATGGAAAATTTGATGACTGGAGAGTTCCTACTTTTTCATGAGTATGGAGTAATAGAGATTTTCACATAAAATTTTCATTTTCAATTTGTGATTCAGAGGAAGTCTCTTTTTGGATGAGTCAATATCGCATTGGCTAATGGTATTTGTACTTCAAGACTAAATCCCCCAAAATATGAATGACTCCCAATTACAGCAGAGAATCCATCACTTAGGTGCAAAATAATTTTAGTGAAGTATATTTGTCCCTTTGTTTCCATGTGTTTCACATGAAGATTCTAACAATCACAATACAGAATATTGGTGATAAAAGCACATCTTGACTGAAGATGTAAAGACTTTTTTATTGTCATTATTCCATAAACAGTGCGATATGACTACTATTTACAAAACATTTAAATTGTATTGGGGATTATGAGAAATTTAGACATGATTTAAAGTATATGGGAGGATGGATCAAAGTTATATGTAGATATTATGCTATTTAATATAGGGGACATAAAAATCCATGTATTTTATTTTGCATTGATGGGAAATCCTGGGACCAATTTCCATCTCAGACACCTCTTGTGATTCTAAGTTATTTTTATATTAACAAAAAATTACCACCATAATGAATATTCTTCATTTTTACCTAATACTATCACAAATGCATCACAAAATAAGAAATATTCTTAAATTTGATACATTGATACACTTTGGGGCAAAGAATAATTGTTAATTGAACACAAACAAGCTAAACATTTCTGTGGAAAGATGTTTCTCTTGACAACTAAAAGTCTGCTATATCTGACGACATGATCCTGTACCTTAAAGACCCAAAAAACTCTACTCAGAAGCTTCTAGACATTATCAATAGCTATAGCAAGGTAGCAGGATATAAAATCAATATAGAAAAATCATTAGCATTTCTATACACTAACAATGAGCAAACGGAAAAAGAATGTATGAAAACAATTCCATTTACAATAGCCTCAAACAAAATCAAATACCTAGGTGTAAACCTAACAAAAGATGTGAAAGACCTCTACAAGGAAAACTATACACTTCTGAAGAAAGAGATTGAGGAAGACTATAGAAAGTGGAGAGATCTCCCATGCTCATGGATTGGTAGAATCAACATAGTAAAAATGTCAATACTCCCAAAAGTAATCTACATGTTTAATGCAATTCCCATCAAAATTCCAATGACATTCATTAAAGAGATTGAAAAATCTACTGTTAAATTTATATGGAAACACAAGAGGCCACGAATAGCCAAGGCAATACTCAGTCAAAAGAACAATGCAGGAGGTATCACAATACCTGACTTCAAACTATATTACAAAGCAATAACAATAAAAACAGCATGGTACTGGCACAAAAACAGACATGAAGACCAGTGGAACAGAATAGAGGATCCAGATATGAAGCCACACAACTATGAGCAACTTATCTTTGACAAAGGAGCTAAAAATATACGATGGAGAAATAGCAGCCTCTTCAACAAAAACTGCTGGGAAAACTGGTTAGCAGTCTGCAAAAAACTGAAACTAGATCCATGTATATCACCCTATACCAAGATTAACTCAAAATGGATCAAGGATCTTAATATCAGACCCCAAACTCTTAAGTTGATACAAGAAAGAGTAGGAAATACTCTGGAGTTAGTAGGTATAGGTAAGAACTTTCTCAATGAAACCCCAGCAGCACAGCAACTAAGAGATAGCATAGATAAATGGGACCTCATAAAACTAAAAAGCTTCTGTTCATCAAAAGAAATGGTCTCTAAACTGAAGAGAACACCCACAGAGTGGGAGAAAATATTTGCCAATATACATCAGACAAAGGACTGATAACCAGAATATACAGGGAACTTAAAAAACTAAATTCTCCCAAAACTAATGAACCAATAAAGAAATGGGCATGTGAACTAAACAGAACTTTCTCAAAAGAAGAAATTCAAATGGCCAGAAAACACATGAAAAAATGCTCACCATCTCTAGCAATAAAGGAAATGCAAATTAAAACCACACTAAGATTCCACCTCACCCCTGTTAGAATAGCCATCATCAGCAACACCACCAACAACAGGTGTTGGCGAGGATGCGGGGAAAAAGGAACCCTCTTACACTGTTGGTGGGAATGTAGACTAGTACAACCACTCTGGAAAAAAATTTGGAGGCTACTTAAAAAGCTGGACATCGATCTACCATTTGATCCAGCAATACCACTCTTGGGGATATACCCAAAAGACTGTTACTCCAGAGGCACCTGCACATCCATGTTTATTGCGGCACTATTCACAATAGCCAAGTTATGGAAACAGCCAAGATGCCCCACACTGACGAATGGATTAAGAAAATGTGGTATCTATACACAATGGAATTTTATGCAGCCATGAAGAAGAACGAAATGTTATCATTCGCTGGTAAATGGATGGAATTGGAGAACATCATTCTGAGTGAGGTTAGCCTGGCCCAAAAGACCAAAAATCGTATGTTCTCCCTCATATGTGGACATTAGATCAAGGGCAAACACAACAAGGAGATTGGACTATAAGCACATGATAAAAGCGAGAGCACACAAGGGAGGGGTGAGGATAGGTAAGACACCTAAAAAACTAGCTAGCATTTGTTGCCCTTAATGCAGAGAAACTAAAGCAGATACCTTAAAGCAACTGAGGCCAATAGGAAAAGGGGACCAGGAACTAGAGAAAAGGTGAGATCAAAAAAAATTAACCTAGAAGGCAACACCCACACACAGGAAATCAATGTGAGTCAATGCCCTGTATAGCTATCCTTATCTCAACCAGCAAAACCCCTTGTTCCTTCCTATTATTGCTTATACTCTCTCTACAACAAAATTAGAGATAAGGGCAAAATAGTTTCTGCTGGGTATTGAGGGGGGGAGCGGGAGGGAGTGGAGTGGGTGGTAAGGGAGGGGGTGGGGGCAGGTGGGAGAAATGAACCAAGCCTTGTATGCACATATGAATAACAAAAGAAAAATGAAAAAAAAAATAAAAAAAATAAAAGTCTGCTATATCTAACTGCATGTGATTTGTGTGGCCCTCTAGTTTTAATTATTTGATTATTTACTTTTTTCACTGTATGTGTGGAGGAAAAACAAAAATTGAAATGAGCAATTCCCAGTTGTCTATCTTAACATAAAATAGAAGTCATAACTTTTCATCTCAAACAATGCATAAAAATAGATGCAAAGGAAAGGACTCAAACACTAAAACAAATCGGCCTACATTTCTGTTTACATGGCTGGTGCTGAGAGATGAGAGGATCAGACTGAAAGTAATGCCACTTCGCAGCCTTCTAAGCAGAACTAGGCTACAATCACACTTTTGTTTCTTGATAAGTCCAAATTTTAAAGTCCAGGTAACACCAATCCTATTTTACTTCCTGGGATTATGAACAAGAGCTTGAAGATGTGGAAAAGGTTACTTTTAAATACCAAGAGGGTAAAAACAAGTTGGGAACTCCACAAAATATCTTAAAAGAAAATTTTGTGATTTCTGTAATCTAGTTATCCTTGAAATAAGTTTTCTCAGTATTAATTATGCTATATCATGCTTACCTTCTGAATGTAATATGACACACCAAGTTGAGGACATAACCAGATAGTCATAAACAAAGCAATGCTTATGGTAATCATATATACCTATATGCTTGTATATGCATCCATAAATATATGCTTCTTAAATTAAAATCATTAGGCACTGTATTTCTACAGCTCTAAGAGGTGCCTGGAGGACCCATTTAAAAATTATGGATCAGCCTGGGAATGTCATACCTGTTTTAAAAGTGTGTAGTTGGAGCCATCAGTGCTAATTTTTCTTATCTCATGATGATCAGCAAGAATGAGAAAAGCTTCTTCATCTAAACCCCAAAGTAAAGAACATATTAGACTTTTAATGTTTATGATTTCCTACTTTAGTTTTAGTTTAGTTTAGCAGCAATGTAAATTCTTATGCAGCACTGCTGTGGTAGATTAATGATAAAAAGTTATATTGAGGAATTGTCAGTAGTAAAATGAAAAGGCAGCAGACAAGAAATGTAGAAAACCTAGGTATATCTCGTTTTAACTCTAAATTCTCTTAGACATTAAGATGATTTACTTAGTGTTACAATCCAATTTTCAGTAAATTTCAGGAAAGGATATCCTACACATATCTTAAAAAGGTATAGTAATGTTAAAACACGGATATAATCAGAAAAATCTTTTGTGCTCTTCAACCTTCTGTCACTCAGAATGACTGCGGTGAGGACTGATGGGATCGTGGCCCATTCATACTCTCTTGTGTGTCTGGGAGATTCTCTTAAGAAATTTCTCAACTCTAGGTTCTAACTTTTGTTAATTTTACCTTTTCCCTTAAATCTTTTTTAACCCTTTACTAGTCATTAATTACTTCTCATGAACTTGTCCAAAGTGTCTTACTATCACATTTTTTTTGAATCTTGGAACTAACATGACAAAATATGTTCATGCTCAATATATAGGAAAGATCTTGAAAACTTGAACTTGGTATTCCCTTCAGCATTTATTTGGAAGTGAATGAATTCTTAGTGAAAAGAGCTTCAAAAGTTTTGCACAGTATACTTATTTGAACACATGTTTGAATAAAGTCAGTTTAATCACATCCTGTGTTATCATGATCCATGTCAATTTAGTGAAAAATTTGTTCAAAATATATTTGTTTATAAAACACACATGCAACCATATTTGGCAAATAAGTAATTTTAAATGTTCATAGAAATTAGAAAAAGCATAAAATAATCACTTTATATAATATTTTTTGGATTTTTTTGTAAATCATTCATTGCTGTATACTTATCCTGTTTAATTTGTGTTTGAAATTACTGAATTCCTCTCCTTTCCTTTTATTTCCACAGTTAATACATAGTAATATTATATATTATGTATCAGCATACACTATCTTACTCATGTTGCACACCCCTTCCTATCACCTGAAATAACACCTTCAATACTTCCAATCTTCTGGTGGATGCCACGTTGAGATTCATAACACAGCACAAGAATTGACTGTAAAGTTAGCTGAAAGTGCCTTGCATTCTTGTCAATATAGTTTTAATTTTCTAAATACAAAATTAATCTCTCATGATCCAACTCAATACTTAGGCAGTTCTATTCTTACAACTTGACTAATTTAATTTTTAAAATGTGGCTTCTCTTTAGCAATTTATGCTTCAGGAATAAACATTTTGTGTGTTCAAAATTATTATCACTTTTGAATGATGATTGCTAATGTGATTACTATGACATAGATACACAATATGAGAAGGCCTAAATTGCAGTCATTATCATTCATCTTCTCAACACTATCCTTTATAAAAAGAGCAAAGTAATGGAAAAGTTAACTGTTTTTGAAATTTGGTCTCTTTTTCTTGTTGCATCTCACTTAATGCATGATGCAAGAATCAGTGAGCTGGCCACAAGCAAGTAGGTTGGTAGATAAGTGATCCTTAATTTGATTCAAGAAAGAATATTGAAAAGAATAAGTGAAAACGAAATGAAAAATTCAGAACAAGTTCATTTTGTCCATGTAATATGTAACATTTTAAACAGTTAAAAATTCATTTTTAATTTCTATCTCGTATCTATTTCACAAAAGTACATAATGAAACATCTGATGTTTTAAAGATTCCTATCACCAGGAGATGGTGGCTCACGCCTATAATCTTAGCTACTCAGGAGGCAGAGATCAGGCGGATTGTGGTTTGAAGCCAGCCAAGAGAAATAGTTCATGAGATCCTATCTTGAAAAAAAAATCACAAAAAGTGGAGTGGTTCAAGGTGTAGGCCATGAGTTCAAATCTCAGTATCACAAAAAACAGTGTTCTATCATATATCTATGCAAGAAATTAGCAGTGAGAGCTGATTTGTTAAGTTGAAAAACAAATTATGAGAGAAAAAGATTCCCTTACACACCATTTTTAGCTCATTTTGGCAGTCATTACCATATAATACTTTATATCATTGAATGTGTGTGATTTCTTCCCTAATGTTTTACAATATTTCCAAAGTTATGAGCCATGCTTTATTAAATTTCTAATTTACAGAGTCTCACACACTACTTGGAGTAAACAAAGCTTCAGTAGTATTTTCTGAATCATGGGAAGAATTCAGTCTTACGTGGCTGCTTTATTATTAATATTGTTGCTTATTATTATTAACCTGTTGTTCTCATTGGTATGCATGTATAAGAGTGTGTTGAAGGGGGGAAAGAAAAATATTACAATAATGTTACAATAGGCTCTTCAATAGACTTGGATAAACCTGCTTCTGAGAATATGTGTTTTAACAGAAAGCAGTGTTAGAGACAATTCTTTTTACTTGTGAGCACTCTAAACATCTAGAAACACTTAATAATTCACAAGACCATAATAAAATGTTGTTACAAACATCAGTACTTGTGCAGCATACAAAATCTCAGACAAATTCCCATGTTGGGGAAGTAGAGAATTTTGATTTCTCAGAAACAGAAAGGATGAAGGAATTCAGTAAGAATGGCTATAAAACTCAAGATCTATATGTGTAACAGGTTGGATCTGTGGGGTAAGTTTAATTCAATACCTGAGAGTGATTTGCAGCCATTTGGGTTATCAGGTTGTATTTCATACCCATCTACACAGAGGCACTTGTAGGTCCCATATGTATTGATGCATTGCTGGCTACAAGGAAAGCCTGAAGAGCATTCATCAATGTCTACACATGTTTTACCATCATCCTTCAGTTGGAATCCAGGCCAGCACTTGCACTGGGGAAAGAAAAATGAGTATAATCAATTTTTATCATTGTCACTGTCTCTTATTATTGGATATCCCTTCAGCATGACTCAAGCTGGAAAAGCACTTAGAACAGTTAATGGCAAGTCTTTCTGTCTTCCAGCAATTAACCTGAATAAGAATCACATATATTACATAAAGTTTAAAAGTACTCTCCCAAATATCTTTGCTTGGTCTTCTGGGGTTGGCAAGATTAGAAGTTAACTGACATCAATAAAGAAATGGGTGTAGAACATGGCAAGGGAAAAACCAGAGTGAAATCTACAACTTCTCTGTTGTTTTTCTATTGCATTGCATTGACTTTTTGGAAAATTTTAAAAATAAGAATGGATCCTATGTGGAATTTTTGAAAGTTTCTAAAATTGCCACATGTCATTTCATTAGAGATTTAAATCTATAGAGTAGGTTTCCTTATCCTTAGTTAACAATGAGAATTCTGGAAACATGAACGCGAAGTTGCCTAGATAAACCAGTAAGAAAGCTCAAATTTTGAAAACAGAGTCTCAACATTTATTGACTGATTCTGATTTTGTACCAAGACATGCTGATTTTGATAAAACAGTAATAGTAACCCAGTCTTTTCCTGTCTCATCAAATCTTTCTTTCAGCATTTCTGTCATGTTTTCTCTGTCCCTCTGATGATATATGACATTTACTCACTGACAAACAAATCTGAGTACAAACATTCTGTGTAGTGTGTTTTTTGTATTCCTAAAAATCTTGAGTCATTGTGATTGATCACTGTCTTTCACTTATATTCTCATTTCCTGCCAAGTAGCATATGGTAATTATTATTATAGAAAATGAGTTTATACTTGACTAGATGATTATTATCATTAACCTTTACCAAGACTATACAAGATCTTTGAATAAGGTATTTCTGAATATTAGGAGGGATGTGAGTTAAGAAGGAACTCTATAGGGTCAAAAGTAACGAGTATTTAAGAACTATTCATATTAAACTTTTCATCATCTGGATCATCTGGATCTGGATTTATTTGAGAGTAGAGATAGCAGAGTATTGTACCTATTAGGAAAGAAATTAGTGAAATATGCCCACATTATTAAAAAACAGTAACCAATTTATTGAAGTATAGATTTTAAAAAATAAGTAAAATACTCATTATTTGGATTGCAAGCAAAAGCAACATTAATTCCATCTGAAATTTCTCAGAAAAAAGATAAATAAATTGCTCTTCCTAAGTACTTTTATAAGAATGAAAAGCCTTTAAGCTTCTAGTACTTCTACCTTGAACATTTTATGTCACTTTCTATTGAATAATAGTCAGCAGTTGCAATGAACTATTAAGTGTGCAGAACACATAAGGAGCTAGCAAAAGAATGCAAAAGCCACAGCTTAATTTTCCATACTCTCCTCATCATATCAAAATATGTGACACTATTGCTTTCCTGTCACTTGAATTCTAAGCCAAGAGGACTTGGTACTATATATGTAAAAATAGTTAAAATTATAAACTGTTGTTGCACATATTTTACCACAGTTTTTAAAAATAAATAATTACTTTTAAAAAAGATATTTGAGTGAAAACAGAAGTTATTATTGCAAAGTACTAGAAATTAAATCATGATGATGTGGCCAGGAAACCAGAAGTCCAATTGTTAAACACAAAGTGGTATTGGATGAAGGGAGCACTGTAGAACAGTGAAAGGAAATTTTATAGACTGTGAGGACAATTTTGTTGAATTCCTCTCAAATGGAATTATAGGAAACAAGGTGCATCTCAATTTCAATGTGGTTTTTGAAAGTTAGTTTGAGAGTCTATATCAAGCTTATGGAGATTATGGGAATTACATGGCTTGGAAAAAACAAACTTATGCAAAAATTTTTTTTGAAAGTAAAATTGATTGAAGTTATTGTAATAATCAATTATATAAATAAAATTTTAAGGTTTATATTAAGTTTTTATAAATTTTTGGAAAAAGAACGATTTAAAAAGATAATTTTCTCCCCAATCCATTAACCTACCTTAGCAAAACATTTTTACTCCTAAATAATTAAAAGATATCTGTAAGAATTTCTGCTACACTAATATCATTTAAATTTGTAGAGATAAAAGTTATATTTGTTTATATTTACTGGAATTTAAAACATTACAACAGTATAAAAAGGTCTTACTTTTGCTTATTAAAATGTTTATGAGAGATTTATACTCAATGACATCTTAACTTTTCTCATCATTTGGAATTATTTCATATATTTCTGATTTATGCTAATTTTTATAAGAACACTTAGCAACAGAAAGAAGTATTAATAGCGAAATAAACTTTTCCCAATACTTTCAGGAAATTTCTTTGCAGGTTTTTAAGTGATGTTTGACATATATTCCTTGTTATTTCTAATGAATACATTGGAACATTTTACCTTCCCAGGAGTACACTTATTTTTATGTAATAAATCATTCTTCCCATCAAAATGAGATTCCTGGTTTTATCAAATATTACTCTCTTTTGAATAGTAACATACATTGTTTTGTAGCAAATATACAAATTATTCACAGTTCCATAAGACCTAAATTTTGCTTCTGTAATCATTTTATTTTATTTCTAAATTTAAGGGATGATTCCTTGCCATGTTCTGCTGATGTTGCAATGAGAAATAGAGTACTAGATAGTTTTCCTTTAAGACATAAACCCATCAGCTGACATTTTCACTGAAGTACAGTCATTGTGATGTATATAAGGATTTTTACTGAATTTTCAATCAATCATCATATAATAAAAATAGGTATACACGTATATACATATATCAGCACAAGATATAAAATCTTTGATTATGAGGCTTTGCTTAAATCTCTTATTTATGTTTCTGAACTTAAATATATGTTCTGGTCCTCTTTCTCCCACTACATGTTTTGTTTATTCTTTAGTTTTGACACATATGTACTCATTTAGAATATGACTTACAAGAATTCTCCAAGAATCATAGACACCATTTTAGGATGGTTAAATCTACCATCATCCATTTCAACTAGAATTCTCACTCAATTCTTTACAAATTCAGGAGGACAAAGCAAAAATGCTAATGTCTAAAGGTATCCATAGTAAAATATTTCTCTATGAGGAATCTTTTAAGATAATTAAACAGTATGATTTAATATGGCTTTCTGAATGGTGTCATCTTCAACCAATTATTTTCCAAATGTGGTATTGCTGGGCACTAAGTACTCCCTACATGAAAGTGTTATAAATGAAAATCTCATTTTTATGTCATGTTTTAAGGTGTCCATTTATATTTGACAATGTTGTATTTTATTGCCAAGATTGTTATGATAGACATTAAATACATATAAAATAAACAGAGATCAACTTGAAAATTTGTCACATGGAATATATGTTTAGGTGATAGAACCAAAAAATTCTTTATCAATCTATGACTTAAAATTTTAACCAGTAACTTGTAACAATTTTACAACGTATTCCCTGATGTATTCAGAAAACATTTCTATATTGTCAATATATGAGTCATAAGAATATTTTTTGCTCCCTTGGGTTTTAAAATATTTACTGCCAAAATTAATTATTTGGTGGACATTCTCTCATTAAGATCTGTCCTGGTTCATTTGTTTTCCTTCCTTCATTCTGTAACATAGTGTTTATAAATAAAGTACATGTATGCTTTAAGTCTAAAACTTCAACCATTTCTTAATGCAGTATTGTGCCTAAGGTCCTCTTAAAGTAACTTTAGCTTTTATAGTATCTTATCTATTTTTTCAGTGTTGTTTACATTTTTATTACTATTTTTCTGCAGGAAGAAAATAATTGTTGTATTTGTTTTGTTATATCTATGAAAAGTAAAATCTTTGTCAATATAGTTAAGATAATTATAATACCATAAACTTCTTAATTCCAATCCTTCTTTTCTTTTAAGTGTATATTGATACTCCAAGGGGGTTTTACCTTGGCATTTCAGACATGTATATAGCATGCTTTATTCATATTAACCCCCCCACTACTTACTCTTTCTCTATCATAATGATCTCCTATTATTCTACAGCTTAAGTTGCATTACATTATATTATATTCTTATATAAATGATAAATTGGATTCTTTCAATACTTTTTATTCTATAACATTATCTTCCCCCTCCTGCCTTTTGTAGATTCCTCAGCTGGATCCATTAATATAGTCTTGTTCTCTTTCTTACTATGTATTTATGATTACACTTAACTTATAGGTCTAGCTTCCACATAGGAGGTAAAACATGTTGTGACCTTTGGCCATTTGAGCCTGGTTTACTACACTTAACATGATGGTCTTTAGTTCCATCCATTTACCTGCAAGACAACATAATTTCATTCTTCTTTATGGCTGAATAAAACAATATATTATTTTTTGATGATGCTGCAAACTGCATCTAGAGCCTTGCCCATGCTGTGTAGGCTCTCTACCAATTGAGCCACAGCCTGGCCCTAAGTGAGATTTTCCCATATGTGCATAATCAATTTTAACCTAACACAGAAGTTTATATTTTAATATTATAATAGTTTCTGCCCATTATTCCAATGCAAACATATTTTTAGAAGCTATTTCTGCCAGTCGGTGTTTCCAATGAATTACTCTCTTCAGAAAAATGTGCTAACAAAGAGCAATTAACTTATTAGGCATGATCCATTTTTAGTGTGCCTGCATTCGGTCCAAATTATTCAAGTTTCTAGTTTCTCTTCCTGTTTACATATAAGAAATGTATTTATCTGATTTTGTATTAAATAAGTGATTAGTCTATTTCACTTCAAGTGTGTATGGGAGGAAGAAGGAGAGAAGAAATGAGAATTTAAGAATTATATACATATTTATACAACCATAGCTATTACCAGTTTCTCTAAACACTGCTCTTCACTTGCTTATTTTTTCTTTATGCTCTGAATCTATTTAAAATATGTTTTGATTTCTGCTTTCTTAACTATATTCTCACAACTCTTATTTCACACATTATTATGAGTTTCTTCTATAGGCACATTCCTTTTAAAAAGTGTTACCTAACAATATTACAATGGCTTTCAAGTTTTAAAGTTATATTGGCATGAAATAGTCTCTATTATATCAAGGTATAATGTATCATATGATTTTATATTTTTGGTGAGTACCAACCTTGTAACTGACTGGCAGATCCTGACAATCTTGAGAACATCCACTGACTTTCTTACTCAAACATTCATTTATATGGCAGTTTCTCTCATCTGAGCCATCAGCACAGTCATCCTTATTGTCGCAAAGACCTCCACTGGGAATGCACCTGCCATTTTTGCACATAAAAAATGAACTGTTGCATGACTGTTCTGGAAAAAGAAAATAAAACAAATGAAATATAAAGGGGACTCCATTTTTTATTCTACAGTTCTTGAAAACATTCGCAAATGTGATAACTTCTCTGTCACAAATATAATAAATACATAGACATATAAAGTGCTGTATAGTTAGTGTACACATAAAATATAGAAATATAAGGGCAAACTATATGCTTGTGTTCCACACTTACTTAAAATCTGTCTTTATTGTTAAAATTAACAATCAAAATAAGTGTATACACTAAAATTAATGGACTATCTCTGTCTCTTCTATCTATACTGTGAAGAATGAGGTCAAAAATGTAATAATAGTCTGACATTTTCCTCAAGCTATAGATCTCATAAGAGTTATATGTCAGTAAAAATTAAGAATGTAGAATAGGTTGATATTCCTAAACTCTTTTTCTCCCGGAAAATATAACATTGACATTTTTAAATAAGGGCATAAAAAAGAACATTGATGATGAATAATAGTTGTTCCAAATATAGCTATGGAAAGAGAGTTCAGGTATTATAGCTACTCACAACCAGATGACTCGAACATTATTCATTATCATACATGCTGTAAAAACCTATTAACATGTAAACTACATGAGAAAAAGAGTAATTGATTTTGTTCAACAATATACAACTATACATTCATTCTTTGGAATATGAAGTAATGATTACAATGAGTTTGGCTAGATGTGTGTGTATATCACACACACACACACACACACACACACATATTTCTGTTCAAATGTTTGAAATTTGTTTCATTTTGCCTAATTGTAAATAATACACTATGTTGCTCAGTAAATCTTTTATAATACATTTTCCACTAAGAAATTTTGCTACATAATAATTGTACATAATTATGGGAGAAATTATAATATGATCATCTCATCTTAATTGCTTTTATGTATGAAAAATCATCCCAAATATTGTGAGAAATGCATCTTTGGGGTGAGAGGGTAGAATAAGGAATCATCAGGATCATTGCCTCATGTCTTTACAGTTTTTGACAGAGACTTAAATTTGAAAACTAGATCCAAAACATAGTTAATCATCAGAATGCTGCATAGTACCACTAGAAATATCACCTCTTCATCATTTGCCTTCTGTTTCATTGATACAATACTAGAAATAATCAGCATCAGTTTTGTCATTAAAAAGAAAACTTTGGAATAAACAAAGAATTAGATAGTGTTGCACATTTCTGTACCTGCACTTTTACACTTTGGGTTTAAAGGTGCTTCGTCAGAATGGTCAGGGCAGTCAAAGTCTCCATCACATTGCCACTGAGAATTTAAAAGACATCGTCCATCAGCACAACGAAATTCTTCTGCACTGCACTGGCGGTATCCTAGGGGAAAAGAAGCAAGCATTCTGACTAACTCACGTAATAAATATTAACTAAAACTTCATTCACTCAATGTGAATTAACTAAGTAACCAGGAGTCTACCAGGCTTCCTAAGGGAAATCTTTCTTATTTCACTATGTTGTAGTGGTCACTGTTGCAAAAGATATTTGAGGTTGGAAAGTGGTACTAAGGCATGGAGATAAAATGTGAAGAGAAGCATAGTATTCTTATTGTTTCTGGGTTAGGAAATAAGACTGCAACATACTTCATTATGCCATCTCTGTTCCCCTATTGTCTATACCCTAGGGTTTTCCTCAGAATGGAAAAGGAAAATGAAAGCTATTAGAAAATTTTACTCAAGACTAAGATTCATTAGGTATAATATCAGAGCATATGTATGAACAATTCTATGCTATAACAATTCTCAGTAGGTGTAATGCTGCCTTTATGCTCAGGAAGCAGTATTCGAAGTGATTGTTAGAATGATAAAATTTTAGAAGTCTTTATAGAGCAAAAAGCACCAAAACCAATATAACTATGCTGTATGTTGGTTATTAGACTCATTAAAAATCTTTCTTCAAATTATAAAACTCCATAATTTATTAATATTCACATCTATTCCTGTTTTTAAGTAAAATTCGTTTAACTTTTAAGTTTTAGAATGAATTTTTCCTGGTTTTCAAAATAAATATAGTCACTCCCATGAAAATTTTCTGATAAATCTGGGCAAATGTTCTACTTCTAGAAAGAGATTTTTATTATTTAAAAGCCCACAAAATTCCAATGGTAAAAGACAATTCAATAGTAAGTATCTACTTAAAATGTTTTCCATATTGCTATGATGACACTAGACAGTTCTAATATATCCTATTTATTCCCTCCATCTCTTTCTTTCCTAGCTTTTTCTTCATAGCCAATAAGAATATTCAAGTGTTGCCCAGCCCAACTAGCAATATAGGTCTATCTATTTACCTATTAATGACATATTTCTCTTCTCTGTGCTGCCCAATGTTCCTTCCACTCAGTTGCCTCAGTTCAACATCAATCAACATCTCTTTTCTATAATGTCTACCTTCTGAAATTTCTCTTAGCAATAAGAAATATTAAGCACCAGGTGTCAAATTCAAAGGTGCCTACTTCAATTGAATCTACTTGACTTACTTCAGGATTTGATGCTTTTGACCACACTAAATTGGAAACAGTTCCTGGTTTAATACTTAACAATCTACTCTCCTGGGCTCCTTTCCAGCTTTGCATTTGCTGTTTCCTTCTTTGTTTTCTGTGTAAAGTCCTTTCCTGTTCCAACTTAAAATGTTGGAAGTGAAATACTAACTTCAATCCTCTATTACTTTCTGCTTTGTCCGGGCACTGTCATTTCTTATCATGCTTGAATATCATCTTTATGATGATGGCCATCAAAGTAACATTACTTATCTTCATCGTATGTCTGATTTCTAGAACTCTATTTTCAAGCGCGCAGTTTTAGATAATCATCTAATTTACATTTTGTAATCAAAAGATCTAAAGTAAATTATTACATCTCTCTCCTCTGCATCAGAAATACTGGACCTTATATTCCTGTATTCCAAGGCTCATTAATACCAAAAACATCCAGCAAGTCATCTAAGCTAGAAATTATTTTTAACCTCCATATCCAACAATAAATTAACATTAGACACATTCTTCACCTTCCATCCTACCATTCCCAATTTGGTCCACAACCACATTGCTAACCTTCAAACTAGTTCAGCAACCTCCCAACTAGTTTATTTTCCCCTCAAGGCTCTCCTCCTCCACAATGTATTTCTTCTGCTCTGCTGAAAAAAGGTTGTAGAACATAAGTTTGACTGCAACATTCCAACCCCCTGTTTTAAAATTTTTGCTGACCTCAAAGGCAAAACAATTAAATACAAATTATCTAACGATGTTTTTGAGGATTTTTTCTAACGTAGCTCTAATTTAACTTTAGCTTGACCTTGCAGAAGGCTAATTGCTGTTCCTCAATAATATCAACTTACATGTATTTATAAACACATCTAGAATTTCCTATGTGCCCAGAAGAACTCTAAATACCTTGGAGATATTAACTCATTGAATTCTCTTCACAGGTCTTAAGAGTCGTTAAAAGTTAAGAGTAATTACTGTGCATATTTTATAAGTGAGAAAGTTGAGTTACAGAGACATGAGGTAATTTCTCAAGATGACATACCTTGCAGGTAGCAGATGAAGAAAGCCAGAGTATCTGGCTCCAGGATCCATGACTTAAAGCATCTAATGTTTTCTTCTAATATGCATCCCTTATTTCTATTCTTCAATGCCTCCCTGAAAACTAATATCTCATCTTAGCTTTAATGCCAAATGTTGTGATTCTTACTTCTATTTGACAAAGTATGTTATCCATATTACATTGAATTTCTAATTTTTCTGTTTGTGATTTCTTTAAGTTGGGTCTCTGTCTAATTCATTTTCATATCAACCAAATATAACATCTAGTAGAGGGGAGAAATTCAATCAGACATAATTCTGCTTCAGATTTGTAACTTGACTTAAGTTTTAGCTTTTAAAATATCACATCAAATGCATACCTTGATTTTCAGAGAGGATTAAGGAGGACACTAAGTCTATTGCCTTCCATGGATAGAGTCCAGGGCTTTTCATTATGTATACTGATCCATGTTTATGCACATAAATATTTTACCAAACCACTAAATTTTCATAAATTTCAACTTTGAGCAATTTCAATATACTGATTCCTACTCAAATTATATATATGAATATATACATATTTTACATAATGTTTTGATGATATATGTAATATAAAGATAAATTTTGTGATAATAAAATTAAAATCATAAAATGAAAAAAATCAGTGATTACATAAAAAGATAAAGTGAAGGAAAATGTTAAGTAACTATCTTTTTACTGATAATTCTGAATTGTATTGATGTGTTTATAATATTGAACAAGCCAGTCACAAATTGTCTTTAAAGTTCCAAGAACTTCAAAATACTTCAAAACAATGACATTTTTATAGGCATTTTCCGATATGGTGGCTGACTGTTCCAAATATACTACAAATAAAAGTATGATTATGCTAGAGCTTAAAGAAATCACATGTGGTTTAATTTTTTCATTGCTGAATCTCTGGTTCTTAGTGTCACTAATAAATATGTGTGTTTGTTTTTGTTATATATTAATGTATTCCCATAGTCAATAAAAACATTGTTAGCCAGAAGATCTCCTTTATGAAAAGTTAAGAGGTACTTACCACATTGCAGGGACTCATCTGAGCCATCACCACAGTCATCATCATGGTCGCAAACAAACTGCTTGGGAATGCACAACTTATTATGGCACATGAAAGCACTGTCATCACATGTATTATTGGGAGCTAAGAAAGACATCACAAACAATGAAGTGAGAGAGCACATATTTTATCTTCTCCCATATTAGAAGTTTAGAGAATGTATCAAATTATTTCTAATAGTTCATAGATATTCAGAAAAGGAAAAACTACTTAATACTCAATATATCAGGTAAACTAATAATATTATGCATAGGTTAATATATGCATATATAATTCAAAGCTTTAGTAGTAATAAATATGACAGTTATTTCTAGAGGATTGCTGAAATTTCAGCCCATGTAGCAATTTGTAAGCTTTTTGAAGGATGGATTCAAATCTTCATATGTTAGAAAAAGTTACCCAGATAATAAAAAAGCTAAGCAATAATATGAATGAGCCTATAATAATGCTAGGAACGTCTTGCTTTCTTATGAAAAATGGACCTGAAAGCTGAACAAGTGCTTATGCGTGTGATGAAGTGAAAAGAACACTAATAAGGCTGAAGAAAGTTATTATTTTTAAAGAAAATAAAAGCTTTGGGTACCTTTAAGAGTGGGTTGTTGAATTAAGTAAAAGTAAAACCTATGATGCAGTGAAACAAATCACAAGTACCACACAAAATTAGGAATGTTGATCCATGAAATGGAATATTGATCCTTTAGGAATACTGATCCATGAAAGAAGTGCTCCAGGAAGAGCCCTAAAAGAGCCCTAACCAGTGAGGAAAATGATACAAATATGCAATAAAACTTGTGCAAAGGTAATCAACTTCAGTAGTACATATATAGAATTATGAGAGGCTTTAAAGGATACTTTAAATGTTTTTAAAAATCCCAGCTTGTGTTTGAAGGGTAAATGCTATAGCAAGATTAGAGGTTTTGGATTCTACAAATATAAAGAATCTAATCTGCTATATGTTCTCGTAAAGTAAATGGGAATAATAATATTTTGAAAACAGTAGAAAGTTCACTTGTATTTGTACCCTTGATGAAGCTTGTACCTTCTTGGTGCATATATTTCTTTATCTGTTTAATGAGGATAATACAGTCTGTCTGATTCATTTCTCATAAAGACTAGACAAGGTCTATGAAACAGATATCATTTTAGATATTCAATACCCCTAGGCACTCTTTAAATTCCTATTTATATAATAACTATTTTTGGCAGATTCCCCCAAAACACTTTACTGTGATACAATGGGAATTCAATAATGTAAATAGAAAGCACCTATTACAATAATTGACATTTATTGGGCACTTGAAAGAAGTTAGGTGCTTGCCATTCTTTTTCCTCCTTCTCTGAATAAGAACACACCTCTCTTTCTTCTCTTTGTCCTTCAAGACTCAGACATATCATCACTATTTCTTGAAATCCTTCAATGAGATGGCTATGATTTTTTAATATAATATTTTTTGTAATAATATAGTATCTGTTTATTTTTATCGTTCTAACACTTGGAGTCCTACAATTATCCTTTCACATACCTATCTGCCCCCTGCCTCGAGGATGCTCCATCCTCCATGAACCAAGCAATTTCTGCTTTCATATCAGTCATTGTTGACATAGAGTCATGGTAGGTAAGTCAAAAAATTATTGTTTGAATGTAATCCAGTGCAATTTACTTTGAACAAATTTATTTTAACAGCTACACAGAAGTTACATAGGAACAGCATTAAAATTTGCCATTATAATCACAATAAAACTCAGTTACCAATAACTCCTCTAACTTTGAACCATGTCACAGCTTATATAACTCAAGTTAATTATGCCAACTCTAATACATGAATTATTGTTGAAAACACTGATCAACAGTAACTTACTTGGCATTAACACTTTTATTTCAGTCACATGAGTACTATTTGCTATATTCTAGCATAATTTATTAAATAGTACCCATGTGGTTCAAAAGTGTTCATATACTTCCCAGAGTGTTAACTTGTTACAATAGCAGCAGCATACTGGGACCATCTGGATCCATGAATTGATGCAAATCCTTTATTATGCAACCCTCAGTGGCCCCATCGACCTTTATAGACACATGCCAGTTTGAAGATCAAAGTGAATTCTACAGCAATGCTGAGTTCTGTGCAAATAGGCCTGCCTCAAAGTTTTCTATTTCTTTTGTGCTTTGACTATCCCTCATGCACCTATACCAGCATACATACACACTTACATTACAGTTTTAAAGACATGAAGACAGGTCATTGGAGAGATGATTGGCAGAACTCACTTCAACAACCAAAGTCACAGCACTATTTCTAATAAATTCCTCAGCGCAACAGATCCCCTGTGTGACTTTGGGATATGGATTCAAAAATTCAGTCCTTCCATCCTCCTGATCACTCACAGAAATTTAACTAAATTTTTACTATTGAGTAATTCCCCGAAAATTTCCTGAAATGACCTAGAGTGAGAAACTTAGTAAATTGTCTGCCCTCCAAAGGTGTCCCTTTAATCCCTTTGTTTCATTCAACTCTATCCACACTATTTTTATCTGACCCAAGGGTTAATACTCTATCTGTAGGACTAATAGGTGTTTACTGACCTCCTGATCAGTAGTTGTCTAAGATCAGAGCAGCCATTCACAGAGTATCTGTGATAGGCAATCTAAAAGCTTTTATGGGGGTTGAGGGAAATGTGTTGTAAAGAAAATACCAAACCTATCACATTCACACACATAATGTAGTTATACCATCTCAGAGGGAAATGATAAATCTGCAGCCATGAAAATGGTTTTTAAAGTGGGTAATGCCACTGTGTATGTCTGAGACACTCTGAAAATGATTAAAAGGTTTGCTGAACTCTATGATAACAACACTCCACCAAGGAAATCTAAAACTACAAAAGGTCCCAGAATAGGGAAAATGTGGTACAGTGAGTACTAGGAAAACAATATCCAGGGATGCTGCAACCATTTTCTTTGACATATAGCCCCAGCCTGTGTTCATACCGCAGCCTGCTGTGGAGAGCTCGTCACTTCCATTGGGACAGTCCCTCTCACCATCACATAACCAGTGTCGAGGCACACAGGCATGGGAGCCCTGGCAGCTGAACATGTCAGTAGCACAGGTGATGGCACCTTAAACCCAAAGGAAAGAATCATCAAAATCACTCTATATTTACTAGAAAAAATATCTACTATTTATACTTCCTGTTTAAAGAAGGGGAAACAGAAGAATATTGCTTACAAGAAAGAGAATGTAATTGTTTGGAATAACCAAACAATTATTCTTTCTTCATAGGTGACTACACTCCTGCATATAAGAATAATTCTTTCCCAATTGCAAATGTTATATGTCATAAAACCATATGCTTGTAAAATGCAGCAAAACATGGGAATGTCATATAATTATGAATCAAGTGAAATAACATTATGAAGGGATTGAACCTATGAGTAGTAACAATAATGATAATAATAATGGTGGCATCATTTTTATTACATAAAATGTGTGAGGTACTTAATGTATTATCTCATTTAATCCTTGTAGAAGGTCCATCCAGTATAACTATTATTAGTCTCATTTCACAGAGAAAGAAACTACAGCTTGAAATAGTTGCAAATTCACAAGTTGCACATGGTGCATAGAGTCCACACTCCTTCAAATTCCTGAGCACTCATGGCATCATTGTTCCACTCCATCCTGTGTTGCTTGAAAGAATAAAGCATGTGCCTTTTGAACATGTACAAATAATTCTATGATAAACAGAATTCATCTCTTCTTGATTTATCAATTCAATATTCCTTTTGCTTATATGATAAGGATTTTCAAATATACAACAAAAAATGCTTGATGAAATATATGGTAAATTAAAGAGATACATATGGTTTCTCTTTTCTTCCTAATATGAGCATAGGGTAATCATGGCAAATGACCTTATCTCGTGATGTTTCCCTAACCCTTGCACAGGTATATATAGTGAATGTTTGCTTTATTTGTTTATGAAGAATATTAACTGAGTGAATCAGAAACATGACCCTCAACCTAACTTTTTAAAACTTTACTTTTTTATGATCAAACACTTCTAAAAATATATGTTAAAACTATATTATTAGAATTATTGAAATATTTAATATATCCAAGAATGGACTGAAGATGTATTTCCATGGTAAGGTGCTTGCCTGGCATCTGCAAAATCCTGAACTCAATCCCCAGCACTGCACAAAGAAAAAAGAAATTCTCCAAGAGGAAAATATGACTGACATGATTGATGAAGACATTTGCTCTCAATCATTTAAGGCAGGAACCAATGTTCTTTAGTTAAATGATTATTATCTTCCCATTTTTCAGCTATGAAGTTGTTATGAGCAGAAAATCCTTTTCATTGCAATGTTTTCAAAATAAGTAGCAGAGGAGTGACAAAATAAAATTCCCCAGAGATTTTTTTTCTCATATAAACCTGGCTGTCTCTGACTAATACCTTGGCCTGAAGGACAAGAGAGCAATGAATGTTGAAAAGTCCTCAGGTAATTCAGATTTGCTTCTTTAAGTAGAATCAGTACTTTAATGCAATAAAGTTTAACATAATAGTATATATTACTGGAAGAAATCAGAAATAAATGTAACTTTCATTTAAAAATGAATCTACCTGCTAACTATTACATCTTAAGTAACTTTTATAGTAACATTCTCTTCCTACAGAAATTATTTTATATTATTCCCCTGTTTTCCTACTTGCTCTAAGAACATAAAGTATTGTTTTCCTATTATATTCATAAGTCAATGCTTTAATTTCTGCAATATTTCTATTATTTAATCTCAATTATTTAACTGCATTCTTTTAGATCAATGTAAACTCCTTGTCTCCTTCAACATTATCATTATAATTTGTTCCCAATCATAATAGAGAGACCTCTGATTTGGCAGTTGGGATATCTAATTTTGAATGACCTTGGAGAAAAGTAATGCCTGAATTCACCTATCTTTAGAATAAGGAGTATGACTAGATAATTATGAAGATATCTCCAGCTATCAAATGGCATAAGGTTGTTAGCAGCTAATTTTCTGGCTCCTTTGACAGTGCTCAACTGATTCTGTGTTAAAAACATGCCAAAACATCCAAGTCAATAATAAAGAAAATGGGCCAAGGAAAAGCTCATGGCTTCTTTCCATGGGAGTCACTGACATCTGGAGACACAACATCTTCCTCAGGGAAAATAATGTCAGAGGAGTTCTCTCCCCTGAGAGGGGAGAAAAGCAGATGCAATTCCATTGGGTCCACCTTGTGCTCCTGCTCAGTTAGTTAATAGGTTACTAGCAGTTCTCCCTATATTCTTTGATTCTTTGGAAGCTCAAATTCTGAACCTAGCCCTGACATCAGTAATTAGCTGAGTGACTTCAGGCAATGTTTTTTAATATCTGTAAGTTTGTCTCTTTTACTCATCTGTCAAAAGATGGAGGTAGACTAGACTATGAGTTTCAAAAATGCAGTCCTTAATTTCCCATGTCAGAAGAACTATGCACTCGTTAAAGAAGAATATATTCACATCCTTCATAGAAAGTATCTAGATGGGGATTGAGAAACTACACTTAACAGATTTCTGAGAAAGATCTTTTGTACAACAAATTTTGGAAACCATTCCTTTTCTCTTCTAAAATATTAAGTTCTGGTTTTTGGCTCATGTTTGGTCTGAAGCAGTATTTTAATGTATTAGCAGCTTAGTAGTATATAAAATATGACCTGCAAATAAATTTAATAGACTCACTGTTTTGATAGCAGAGAAACATGTCCACAACCATTTTATTATTTATTTAAAAGCATTGTCATACCTATATACATATATGTAATATAAATATTATAAATTTATAATAACACTTTGACAAAAGGAAGTAGGAGAAATAGAAGAGAATGTGAATAAATTCATAGACACAATGAACATTGTTTTGTTGGATAATCACAATAATTACATATATAAATCTTTTTGCACCCCTTTTAATAGGGAGGATTCCAAGAAATAAGCAATAAAATTAAGCTTTCCACGATCATACAGCTTGAAAATAAGATGTGGGAAAAATGAACTCTGTATGACTTTGTATGACGTCTGTTATATGGCCTCCATTCAGAAAACACAAAGTCATCAATGGAACCATTGAGTTAAATAAAGGAACAAAAGCAAGATAATTTTAGACACTGAAAAAATGTTTACCCCATTATAAATAGGTAATCTCTTTGTTAAAAGAAAAAGAATAGCAAAGGGAAGCAAAATATTTAAAGAGACTATTCAGTTATCTAATTAGTTATTTTGCATTCAGAGCTTTTTGATAGTTGTCTTTCTATATTTATGTTTATCTTTTTGTATAACTCTAAATCATTTCAGCTGTGTAAAAGAAAAGTATTTTGGGGTGGGCTACATAAAATAAAATAAATTGTCTGTTTTTAGGAAATAGCAGATTTTTTTATTATCTACAGAGAAATTCAGCTTAGCTTGAGTACTATAAAATACTATCTAACTCTCTACAGTGGTGACCTAAATATCAGGCCACAACTCCTGAAATTTAGAAGAGGTGGTGAATGCTTAACTCTGTGTATGTACCTTATTTCATGATTCAGTTCTGTCCCTTTCTAAAATGAGGATGCAATAGTTATCCAATAGGTCTGAGGTAATGAATGAAAATAAAAGCTATAGCTACAAATACATATATATCAAGATAGATCAGACCAATAGACATATGAGTAAATTAGTAGAATGTTTAAAATTGTAATACATTTGTGGACGTTAGTTTCCTTCCTTCTTTTACCCCTTTAGAAATAGAATTAATAACTCCACTTAAACCTCTCATTAAATATTTATGAATATTAAACAAGAATTTACACTGGCATTGTAGTTGACATCTAGCAAGTAAATATAGATATTTGATACTAACAACTCCAATCTTATAAATACTTAAGTTTAAAGAGCATTTAAGATCATAGAGAGTAAAAAACAAATCATGTAGCGTAGCTAACTTTCTGTTTACAATAACTCATCAAGAATAATCACTATAAAATATACACATTGACACATAAAAACCACATATGTGGTTTGTGGCAGTATTAACTTGTATATTAATTTTGAATGGCAACTTAGCAATGCATATCAAGAGTTACAAAAAATCATTTTATCATTTGACCAGTAATCTCAATCATTGACATTTACCCCAAAGAAATTATTGAAAACCAGAAATAAGCAGGACAGATGCATTTTATTATGAAAATATTAAGTAAAAATCCTACATACTGAATCACTATTTATAAAAATAGTAAAATAGGCTGTCATGAAAATAAAAACATTTGACACGTTAAAAACAAAATTTTTAATGCTACAAAATGATTGGCCATATATATTGCTTAAAAATTATTTGAGAACACACACATAAAAAAAAACAACTCACCACAAATGCTATCACTTTCATCTAATCCATCCCCACAATCATCCTCTCCATCACAAATCCAATGTTTAGAAATACACTTTTGTGAAGAACAAGCAAATTGATTCCAAGAGCAAGAAGAATCTATAAAACAAACAAACAAAGCCATTTGTTTTCAGGTGGAAAAGCTTGTAGAAATAATTTCTGATGTTCTATTGCACAATAGAGTGACTACACAAAATATTCTATTGCATAGTTTTAAAAAGCTATATGGAAAGATTTTGAATGTTGTCAGCACTAACAAAAGATAAATGTTTGATCTGAACATTACACAAAATATACATGTATCAAAATATAATATGGTACCCATAAATATGTGCAGTTATCATGTGCCAAGTATTAAAAAAATAAAAAGAATAAATTTGTTGAGATCATCTTAAGTTTCACAGTGAGAGTGTTCTTTGTTGATACTTCTAGAATCAACTATTCTACACCAAAAAAATCCAAATTCTTGTTCTCCATGACGACTTTATATAAAGTTTTGACAACAGTTTGCATATTGTCCTGTATTTTCATCGTTCACAGCTCTGTTCCTTCAACATGATTACCATAAGGCTTGCCTTTGAGTTCATTACTATGTGGCTACTCTTTGCTTCATCCTCTAAGTACATTCCCAATAGCTGTTCCTTAAAAATGTAAGGAGTGAAGAAATGAAATAAGAATTCCTGGTGCAGATAGACTTAGGAATCCTTTGTTTATTTCAAATTTAGTAAACTTTTAAACAAACAGAAAAAAAGTACATCCTCAGCAATGTAAAAATATGGTGGACTTACAAGCAATGTTTGCTTCTAAAAGTGAGATGACTAAAGAAACTTTAATGTGATGACAATCTAATCATTTCATATATAACGTGTTCCTGACACAGTGATGCCATTGCTTCACTCCTCTGAAAACATTACAGCATGTGATATCTGACTAAAACCACCCAAATTCATTTGAATAGTGGCTGTTTTCATCTTAGAACTTATGTACTTATACTAAAAACATACTACACTTCTCTTCAATGTCAATTTTGTTGCTGTTCAACCTCACACACAGTCACCCCCTTCCTTCTAGCAAATTTATCATCAGGGAATATTCAAAATTAAAATCCTTCCAAATTAATCTGTTCAAAATAAAAATTATTATAAAAACAGAATGACCCAAACAATGTATGTACGTCTGAATAAATGAATAATAAAAAAAAACAAATGTGATTTTATTCCTAAAAGTGATTAAAATTTTTAGCATTTTTAATTAATGTTTCTGTAGACAATTAGTGAAAAGAAATTTAAATGACTAAAGCCTGATAAAAACAAAATTAAAGAAGATATAATCACATAATGACCACCTGTTCAGAAATTCTGAATGTATATAAACTATTTTTTAATTTCTCTGTTAGTCTAGCTCAGAATCTGGCTCTAACATAAAGATATATGGACTCTTACTCAAACAAAATGTACTTTCTCATTTCATGATGACATTTACTTTCAGGAGAGTTGACATTTCTTAGAAGATCCATTATTTAATCTTTTGCACTCTGTCTCTTCACCACAGTATATGTTATTTGTTTTAAAATAGTGAATATAAGGTTTGTTTTCCTATAGGAATTTTTGCCTGCAAATCACAAATTCCATAAATTCTATAAAATAATTTTAGAATGCTTTCTTCCCTTGCCAATATGAAATGAAATGTGCACACACAGAAATTAGGGGTAGAAGTCCATGGATGAGTGTTTGAGGAAATTGAAGTTTGAATATATTATTTAAAGCTACCTATACAATAATACAAATTTAAAATAATAATGTAATTGTGAAAAAGTAGGAGTAAAATATATTCTGTATGTCAAATACTTCTTTTTCATAGCAGAATATCCTAATACCACTTAAGTGAATAAATCCGGAGAGAAGATATAAGCCTATCATTTACAATAGGCTAGGTACCACTCACCAAAACCAGAAAAGGTTAAAAGAAGAGGCTGAGAGGATTATTCTTCTTTATTAAAATCACTTCTATTTTATTTGTAAAAATTTACATTAAAATCCACTAGCGATATTTTATTTGAAAATTTATGATAAGGGAACATTATCATATAAATAACAACATAATTCATAAAATTGAAGGAGCATGTAAAGTCTCACCACAGTGGAATTCATCAAGCCCATCCTCACAATCTTTCTGACCATCACACATCCAGGTGTTCAAAATGCATCTTCCACTAGGACAACCAAAATAATTTTCTTCACATTTGTGTTTGTTTTGAACTGTGATAAAATACAGAGTGTAATGTCAAATAATTTAAATTAATCTTAGAGTTCAGCAATATATGTAGATAAAACATTAATATTGCTTGAATTGGAAGAAATAAATAATAAGCAAACAAATACAAAATAGCTGAGATGTTCTCCTCAAGAATGTCAAGGTTGTGAAAACAAGGAAAGACTAAGAAACTGTCCTAGACCAGAGGTGACTGGGAGACATGATTGTCAAAACTTATTCGGGACTGGGTCCTATCACAGAAAGAAATAACTGATACAAAAACTGGTGAAATCAAAATAGTGTGGAGAGTGGATACTACAAATAAAGGAGTATGACTGAAACTAATTCAAAGTGAATGAATCAAAGGCGAAAGAAACAGTTTTGTTTGGGAAATATTTCCATACATAAATCAAAATTAAAATAATAGTAGAATTTGATGAAAAAAGTGTGGATTTAGTGTTCCTACTGCACTCTGTTTTGAATATGCTTCAAAAGGAATTAAACAAATATCATCTATTTTAAGGAAGAAAAACAAGTTAAAAGAAGTTTCTAAAACTGTTATGTGGCTGAGATGATGCCAAGTGGTAGAATGTGTGCTTGGCATATGAGTGGGCTGGGTTCAATCCTCAGTTCCCCAAATAAATAAGTAAATATAAATAAATACAGTTATTATATTTTGTGAAAGTATTATGAGAACAAAGTATATTTAAAATCATCTTATAAATTTTACTTTGTTAAAACCTCGAGCGTATAAAAATACTAGACTTTGCTCTTGACTGAATGCTTCCTGTCCCATGTATCTTCAGGTGCACACAGTTGTGGACTGACAGGCCTGTCGTCTGTCATGCCCACAGTAAACATGACAATCGCACTGCAATGGCCAATTATGGGTATTTTAAAATACCCATTTTGTTTTTTAAAGGAAAGTTACACACATTTTGAATGAATTCATCATGAAATCAAAAAGTCATGAGTGTGCTTTATACCTATGATTTTCTTAGAATTTTGTCTAGATATCATCTGTCCACCTGTCTCATGAGCCTGTACAGATGTCCTCCTGTTCCTTATCCAATATGAAAATCACAATTCTCTATTAGTGTTGAAAGTAACTTTTAAAATGCTGCGTCAATCCTAGAAATAGGCAGGCAATATGGAAAGGAAAATAAAATATCACTTTTACGAATACCAACAATATTCTGCCTTTAAGATAATTTCAAAGAATAATATCAGCAATAATTACCAAAAAAAGGTGTTATTACAAAAAGAACACTAGTTTAATAATCTTGATATCCAGTCTCTGAGTCTAAAACAATAAAATTTGTATTTATTTAAATATACATACATAATTAAAAATATAGTAAATTTTCAAAAAAGAAAAACTTGAAGGCCTGCAATGAGTTACAGCCAGGTGCTTTCATCTAACGTTCTCCACATCCTCCAAGAGAGCACCTAGATTTTCTTTTTGAGGGTTTGAACTCAGGGCTTTCTGCTTGGAAAGCATGTGTTCTTGCACTTGAGCCACACACATTCTGGTCCATTTTACTTAGGTTCTTTTGGAGACTGGGTCTCAAGAACTATTTGCCAGGGCTGGCCTGGAGCTTGATCCTCTAGTTAGGATTACAGGTGTGAGCCACCAGTACCTGGTTGCTGATAGCCCTCTTAAAGACAAAATGGTATCACAGAATGTTACACATGATGGAGTAGAAAACAGAGAACTTTCTGCTGCCTCCTTAAATAGATCACTCATGAATTATCATGAATATCAGTTTTCATAATCCAAAATGTGTGCAAATTGCTGTGCAACATCTTTTTAAAAAATATTTTAAACATCAGCAAAATTTGGAAAAAAGTGAGTGTTATCAGAGAAAGGAGAGACAAACAGCAATATTGACAAATTCAAGAGAGGCCTACTTAGCACATTTGGTTCCTGTTATATACACTGAACAACTTTTCTGATTTTTAAAAATTTCAATGTCCTCAACTAGGAAGAAATAGTAAAGACCTTTTGTAGAATCCATTCTCTAAGAAAGAAGATAATACTTTTCAGAGCTTATGTAGATAAAGATGTTTCATAGGCATATACTTGTCCCATAACAATAACTGGTACCCAAGCTACTTTGTCAAAAATTGTGCCAAATGCATCTACAGCCTAACAGAAAAACACCTTTATGCAGAGCCAGTAGTGAGTATCTCTCTCCTTTTATTCTCTGAACAGTTATTTCAAGATTTGTAATATTGCTAGTGAAGTTTAACAGATTATTCATTTTATTTTGGTTTTTATTTTTTGTTGATTAATTGATAATGGTACTGGGGATAAAACCCAGAGCTTTGCACATTCTAGACAAATATTCCACCACTGAGCTGCATTTCCAGCCCTGGGTTACACATTTTAAAGACTCAACAACCAATTTAATGAAGGATTGATGAAGAATTAAATTGAAAAAATGATGTAAACTTATATGTTTCTTCATTTTCTTAGAATCTTTCTTTGTAGTCTAGGGCAGCATTGAACTCACAATCCCCCTGTGTCTACCTCCCAAGTGCTGGGATTCCAGGCATGTACCCCTACATCCAGTTTAGGACATATTTCTAAGTATTGTATAACTAATAAAGTGGCATGTTTACAGGAGAATGATTACTTTTTATTCAATATCACTTAAATTTTAAACTCAACCATTGAATACATACAATAAAAATTAACAAATTCATTCCATACAAATAACTAGCCTTTAAATTTCAAAGCAAGAACTGTTGTCTTTTCTAGAATTACCTGGGCACTTTAATTCATCTGAATAATCTCCACAGTCATTAGACCCATCACATATCCAGGTTGGCAGTACACACAGCGAGGTGGAATTACATTTTATGAACCCCGTGGTTTTCACGCCAAGTTTATAGAAATGTGTGCAGTCTGTATTATCTAAAAGGATATAAACAAAAATGAAAAATACTCATTTGCAAAGATTATGAGCCTTCTATGTGGGTCATAGAGGCAAGGAAAGTTAACTTCAATGGAAGAAGTAAACATACAATTATTGTACATGACAGGGGTTAATTATATATCAATTATGGATGAGGTTCAGGAAAGACTTGGACAGTGTTCAATGCAATGCCAAAGGTGTCCAGGCATAAACACACAAAAGGTAAGAATATCTTACTGCAGCTCTTTTCATCAGAAGCATCTGCACAGTCTATGTTCTGGTTGCATTGTGCTGATCTTGGAATACAAGTCCCATCTGCACAGCGGAACTCAACAGTGGCACAGGTTGAAACTATAAAAACAGGTAAATAAGTGGGTAGATGAGACAGAAAGTGACTCCTTGCTTTTATATTTTGAGCATTTTAATTGCTTTATGTAATTTTACTTTGCTTTGCTTTTTTAACTCTAGGAAGTCTAATATGATACCTGGTTATCACCACAATGGTGGGTTAAATGCCTCTTATATGTCTTTCCTTATTATGCAATTCTTCCCTGTACACTAGTGTTTACAACAGTGACTGCAAACTTCTCCTCATGTACCTCAAACCCCACTAAATTGTAGGTTCCAGTAGACCAGTGTCTGTGCCCTCTTCATCTTGGTCCTACCAATTCACCACTAAGACAACACTAGGACAAAATGAATATTGCTTAAAATTTTCTCTTCTTCCCTCTTCAACAATATAAGGTTATGGCACTAAGTGAATTCCTAATTACACACCTTTCTTCTGTGATAGACACAGAAACAGAGACAGAGGCAGAGATAGAGACAAATATGGTGGGGGGCACTGAAAATTTGCTTCATTACTCAGTGGAACATCTGAGCATTACTGGAAAGTCACCTATTCTACATCACACAGGATAACCTGGTCATATCATTATCATTTTCTACAGGAAATATGGAAGACTCATGCCAAGGAACATACCAATGTAGTATTTCTTATTCCTATTTTTATGAGACTATGGCTTTACAGTTCTCTGCTATGCTTAGATGAAAATCAGGTTTAATATGCTGTCATTATATACACTTTGTACAAAATACCTTATTATTAATCATAGTTCTTTATAGGTTGCTTACTCTTTCATTATCATGTGATGGTTTCCAGCAATATCTTGTGAACAGGTGCATGGAATGCTACATATGTTATATTAACTTAGTTAAAATTGTTATTACAAATTCAAGTTTTCACAGGTTGACTCTGTTAATGTACAACCTGAAGGGCTCTTTGATTATGCCGCTTTTACTAATGTTGATATTTTATAGAGTCTATTTAATTAGAAATAGAAATTATATCAATTGTAAATGGTTCAAATGCTATCTAAAAATATGCAAATTTTACTCAAGGATGTGTATGTCATTTGTATTTCTTAATGCACTGTTCTTATTATATTTAATTGTATCTTGAAATTGCATACTTATTTGTGTTTAAATGATGATTAGGATAAATGTTTTATTTAAAGTTTTAAATTATAATTACTTTACTGTTTTCTTCATCAAAAATAACATTTTAGCACGTGAGACAGAGAATGCCATTATGAGTAGAGATAAATGCATTGTTCCAAAACAAGGGAAAAGAGTACAGTTGTTTTTTTCTTTGCTGTCCAAAAAGTAGAATCTCTTTTGCATCTCTTTGTATTACAATTCATATTCATTTTTCCAAAAGAAACAGTAAAATTATATATAACATAGAAGCGAATCATATCAAGCATTTATTTACATTGTTTTTGCTTGTACTGTCTATCAGCATTCTCATCAATTATGTTAGTAATCATTTCTTATGATCTTCTTGTTTAGAAGACAGGACACATTTCTCTGTGAAATAATATTTTAGGTAGTTAAAAAATTACTAGGAAAGTCTATAAAGGTTTATCTCATAAAGCACTTCCAGTTCTATCTTACAATGTACTTGAAGTTAGTGTAGAATGTCACAAACAGCCTAGTAGACACAATTTTACCACCATCTCACATCTTCCTCTAAGCCTTCACCAAGAATCCTCTGTGTGGGTGGAAGGAAGTCCATCTGAGTGAGTAGCAGTGGCTTATAAGGTGAAGAGACAATTTATGATTACATGAACAAGATGTTGACATGTCAGACAATTAAGGAAACTAGAGATTCAGGGATTTTACAGTTATAGAGTTTCAAAATTATTGTCAGAACCTCTGAAGTAGAAGTAGGATAAAGAATAACTTGTGAGGAGTGGGAAAATGTAACAAGAGGAACAAAGTCTTTGAATTCTGGGTGAAGGAAGAAATGAAGAGAGGAATTCAGACTAGATGAAAAGAAACTACAACTGTGAAGTTGAGCAGAGTGGTTAGGAGATAGTATGTAAAAGAAAAGCACGGGAAAAGAGAGGAGGTAAGAGGTCAGGCAAGTGGGATAGTTTTTCCAACCAATAATAGGACTAATAAATCATATGAGGAGTGGCTGGCCTAGGCAGAGTACAAGATATGCAAACAGGAATAGATTATCCCTATGTACCTGATCCTGTTCCCACAGATTCCATGTCTTGCTACAGATTTTAAGACCCACCACAGGGTTAAATAAGATTATATGTGGCAAAGAGATTGGACATATTAGATGAATGAAGAATTCTGCAAATAGTAGGAACAAGATGGTGGTGGAGGTTAACATCTCCAGCGTTAGTTGGCAAAAAAGGAGAGTCTTGTGCTGGGAAAAAATCCATGGAAATAGCAGGAACTTTACTAAGTAAAGTACAGATATGCATTTTCTGCCAAAACCTCTTCCTGTCTGTTTCCTCAACTACATTCCCTCTTCACTTTGTTTTGGTCAGTCAAGTATTGAAATTTGTTTCACCCTTTGGATGATTTTTAAGGAAGAAAGATACTGGAATCTCTAATTTGTCAAGTGAATATGAAAGTTTTCTGACAGTATTTCCTCAGGCTAAAAATCTTGAAAAGGAAAAAAAAGAAAGTAATTTAGTCCAAGTAAAGATAAGCCAAGTGAGAAATACTTGACTTTTCCCTCCAGATACTCCAAAAGAAAAAGCCTACAAAATGTGAAGTGAAAACAAATCACATCCATACCAGGAATAGCAATGAGATACTACCAAGTAAGAAGATCTGACAGGGACTGTGGATCAAAAGTAGCACAAGAAAGAAAGGAAAAAGCATCTCTATTTCATATACTTTCCTAATTTCCCTGTTTCTTCCACTTACTTTTTACCATATCAGTTAAAACGGCTAATGAATTATGAACGATGTGAAATCAACTGATCTTTCTATGGTTCCTAGCATAGTTTTTATAACTCAGTCTATTCTCCCTTCCCAACTGTAGCAAAGGGAAGTTGACAAGGAAGAAAAAAGCATTAAATTTGCTGTCATGTCTGTATTCTGTCTACTTACAAACCACATCTTATACTTAATTATTTAATTACCAGTTAGGTTCCAAACACAAAAGGAATGTTAATTTCTTCTCTAGCCATGTTTATTCTTTTTTTTTTAGTTGGTTCTTGGAACCTTTCAAAGTTTTTCTTTGAACTTTGAAAAAAAAATACACACCAGTTTTCTCTCCTTTAGAGAGCCTAGCTCTCCCATCTATCTAAAAATATCTGGCCCAAGGAAATTCGTATACTTCCCAAAGGAAGTAATTTATCCTCATCTCAATAGGGATGGAGGAATATCATGCACTCTCCCTGGATCTATGCACTCAACTTGTCACACAATCAAAAGAGGAATATAAAATGACAAACTTTTTTGTTGTTGTTGTTGTTGTATGCTATGGCTTTTTTTTTTTCATTTTTCTTTTATTATTCATATGTGCATACAAGGCTTGGTTCATTTCTCCCCCCTGCCCCCACCCCCTTCCTTACCACCCACTCCACCCCCTCCCGCTCCCCCCCCTCAATACCCAGCAGAAACTATTTTGCCCTTATCTCTAATTTTGTTGTAGAGAGAGTATAAGCAATAATAGGAAGGAACAAGGGGTTTTGCTGGTTGAGATAAGGATAGCTATACAGGGCATTGACTCACATTGATTTCCTGTGAGTGTGTGTTACCTTCTAGGTTAATTCTTTTTGATCTAACCTTTTCTCTAGTACCTGGTCCCCTTTTCCTATTGGCCTCAGTTGCTTTTAAGGTATCTGCTTTAGTCAAACTTTTTTTTAACAATTCTTCATACCTGCCCCCCAGATAGTCTGATGTCTGAAGTTCTCAGTCATGAAAGGGATAGCTTTAGAGAGGCAGTAAATAAAAGATTGATGAGGATTTAGGATATTTCTTTTCCTCTGAAAGAGAAGAAACCAAAAGTAATTCTTTGTAAAGTATATTTCCACTCTGTAAATCAACTTTGTACCCTTGCAGAATTAAAAAATGGTAATAATCACTATCAATGGATACATTTAACAAATCCATGTGCAGTAGAATTTCAGATAATTTTCGCATAGCTTCATCATTGCCTCTAACTACAGCCAGGAAATCTCCCTGTCTATTGACTTCTGATCATACTAATTTAATGTTTTTATATTTTTATTTTGATTAAAAATACTGGGTGATTTGCATGTGTACATGTACATGCAGTAAAGTGCTATATCCTAATGGTTCATGGACTGTAGAAAGGGATACTACACTTGATCTTAGCCAAAAGGCCGAGAAGCGATGACTGTAGAAAGAGAGGAGTAATTGAAAAAAAGACTTAGAGAATTCTTCCATCCTCTCTGAGTCCTTACACATGCCTTTCCTTCACCATCTTTTGTGCTTTTTGAGGGGAATGCGTGAATCAATGCTACACAGACATCCTGGCTTATAGGAGATGAACTCGGGGAAGTTTTTCCTATACAGCTTCAAAGGTGCCTTACAAAGACACTGTGTAAACAAACCTAAGATAGGAAAAAGATCAAACCCAGATGACTCAACTGAAATAAACAGCTTATCATCTGAAAATCTACCCATTGCTTATCCATAGGAGCTATGTCAATTAATCAAACTCAGCAATTGCTAGTAAGCAATAAAATGTATGCTTGTGTGTCTATGAGCAATTTTAGTCACAAACATCCTGTATTACACAGGGAGAATTTCAAGACCTATGGTTTATTTTTTTAATTTTAAGATATCTAACTGCTATAATTTTTACACAATTATTAACACAAAAGAAAGGTTATAACAATAACCTTTCTTCATTGATTCACAATGTGCCACTCTGTGCCCAAGAATATGGATGAGATAGTTATGATACAGAAATGAAGAATTAAGCTTTAAATAGGAGAAATAGCATTTTGAATTATTTTATTATTGTTCAGCAGCTGTTGTTGATATCATTAGGCATAATAAACTATATCTATATTTTTATAAGACACTGCTTCAACCACTTACAGAAAAAGTTAATAATCACCTATCATGTACTACGTACTGTATTTCATAAATCCAAACACACTAATTTATTTATCACTTTTGAAAACAAACTTTCATTTCTGAAGAAAACACATAGTTACTTATTAACTTTCCAGGGCTTCTTTTGAACAAGTTTGTTTTAAAATCTACTTTCTATATTTATTATTTAGTTCCTTTACATTCTAGCATGAAATTTTACCACTAGGCTGGTTTATTGTGTTTAATATATTCTCCTGTTATGCCTGAAAAAAATCTTATAGATATACCCATTTCTTATGTTTTAGTTTCCTTTCCTCTTTTCCAGGTGCTTATTCATTTCCCTCCTTTTCCTTTCAGTATCTTTCAACAATTTGAAATTTTTAATCTTTTATAGGTAATATGAAAAATTAATATGTGTATTTTGCAAATCCACTTAGTTTTTTCTGAACTGTCAATTTTAGATAGTAATAAGGTCAGGTGTTTGCCAAAGCACTTGCAGTATAAGAGGCAGGCAGTGTCACCTCCCCACCTTCCATACAGCTATATGGTGATCTGCCTTCCTTCTACTCTCTTTCTTAGTTTTGCACAGCCTTATCATCTTTACTGTGCTTTGTGCCTTTCCTTTTCCAACAATATTTTCTAAAATCAGTCAGTAGTCACTGTTTTACTCCCTCCCCATCCATTCTCTGCCTTAACTCAATGCCATCTGGCTTTTCCCTACCATTTTATTGAAGGTAATCCAGAGATTATATCCTATTGGCCAAGTACAATGAATTCTTGTATTCCATGCCTGCCTTTTGATTCTCTCTGTAACACTTTAGAACACTGAATGATCCTCTTTTCTTCAGAAAATAATTTCTTATAATGGTCCTTCTACCTGTCCTTAGTATTTTTAATTTTTTATTTGAACAAGTAGTTCTGATGCACTCTGCTAAAGCAATGATTACACTGCATACAAGTTTGCTTTTTCTTTTTAATGAGTCCAAATCAATTTTTCTTATCTAAATCTACTATCTGCATGCCTCTGGACAGTTCCATTTAGATGTCTCCAAGTGCTCCAAACTCAGAATGCAAATGCTCTTCATTATCTTATCCTCATCCCCACACAAGCAAAAACCCCACAAAAATAAGTAAACTATCCGAAAAAAAAATTATAACAGGTCAAAGAACATATCAAAAGTTCATGGGTCCTTTCCTACATTTTCTCTATGTTTGCTACCCTATATCTTTCATGCTGTCTTTTAAGGGCTGATGTGTCTATCTTTCCCTTTACTGTCAGCTTTGGCTATTTCTGGTAGCCTTCTCTAAGTACATCCTTCTGTGTATAGACATAGCACCTTTATTTTTCATCTTGTTTACATGGCTATCTTTTATTTACAGTTTACATGACAGCAAAGGCAAATATCTCATTAATTTCATATCTCAGTCCTTAATGTGCTGTACTCACAAAAGTGTGTTAAATAAATAGAAAGACTTTTAAAAAGAAATTGCTTTGAAAATATCTGCTGGGTCCAGATTTTATAAGACATAAAAGTTGAACTAAAAAACTTGTCATTTACTCTGTAAACACTGGTACTCCATTAGTGATCAGTGATTATAAAAAAGCAAAGCTTAGTATTTAATTTAATATTAATATTCTCATTTGATTGTTTTTTCCTATTTTACAGTTTGAAAAACTGAGGCACAAATTGGTTAAGTGTCCCACACAAATTTAAACAGTAAGGGTTGAGGCTGGGGTTTTAACCGTTGGGATTTGATTGTCCCAGGAATCACAGTGGAAAACATTAAACAATATTAATATGATTAACAACACACAGGTAAATTGAAAAAAGAATAGGCGGGAAAAGAGTTAAAGGGTTATTAATTACAGGTTTACAGTAGATCATCTTGGAAGATATTTCAAAGAATTAGAAAATTTATTTATTGTTAGATCTGCAGATGACAAAATATTCAGAAGGAAGCATCAAGCATCAAGGTTTCCTTTCCAGTTGAGTAAAATGAGATTGCAGATGAAATGATTAAGGAATGAAGGGAAACATTTTTGGAACAATAATTCAGTATTACATATTTTGATAGAACAATCCCAATCCAAGGAGGTAAAGTTGGAGTAGTAAGAAATGGCAAGAGTTTAAAAGTGAGCAAAATAGTAGAAACCATAAGTACAGTCATAGCTTTAAAATTCCATTTATTTTAACTAATTTATAAAAATTGTGTATATTACTGAGTACCATGTGATATTTTAATAAAATATATACTGTGTAATGTTTCAAGTTAAAAATACCTGTCTTCCCAGACATTATCTTTTCCTTATTATAAAAGCATTCAAAATCTTTTTTCTAGTTTTATTAAAAATGCTTCACATTACTGTTAACTATAATTGGTGTACCATTCAGCAATACACCAGACCTTCTTGATCTTTTCTAACTGTATTTTAGTACCCACTTTCGACCTTCCCTCCACACTGGAAAGGCTCCTCAAAAATCTAAAAATAGAACTGCCATGTGATCCAGCAATTCGACTCCTAAGGATATACCCAAAGGAATGTGAATCAGGTTACAACAAAGGCACCTGCAAAACCATGTTTATTGCAGCATTATTAATAATAGCTAAGGTATACAAACAATCAAAATTCCCCACTACTGATGTATCCCTTCTCCCCTACCCACTCTTTCCAGCTCTGATAATCACCCTTAACCATTAACCACAATTCTACCCTCAACTTCCACGGGATCCACATGGGATTCCACATGTGAATGTGATCACTCAGAACTTATCTTTCTGTGCCTGACTTACTTCACTTAAAATGATGATCCCCAGTTCTATTATAAAAGCATTTACCACATTCTGCTCCACAGGTGTTATTAAACGGTTTATATGTAGAATGGCGCTCTCAGGAACAAACTTTGGAAAAGTTCAAGAAACACTTGCTCTAAAAATATTTCTAGGCTGATGCAAAAAAAAGTTACCTTTGCAGTCTATCTCATCAGAGTTGTCCCCACAATCGTTTTCACCATCACATAGCTTGCCATGAGGAATGCACCGACGACTGTAGCAAGGCTTGAAACCTCTTCGACAGCTTCTGTTTTCTTATGAATAAAAGAAGAAATTCAATTAGAGGTTACATAGAAATATCAGTAAAAAATTAAAACTATAGGCAGATTTCATTTATAATGACTGGGTTGTGACTGCACAAAACAAGTGCTGTGCAGTATTAAAACTCTGAACTACAGTATTCATCAGCTACAAAGGAGCAGTTCATTCAGCGAAGGCCTTTTTGACCCAGTACTTCATCCCATGGCTTCCTCAAGTTGTATCCACATTACTGCTTCTCACTCTTCTGTCAAGTAGCACAGGAATAAATACATAATGCATATTCAATGAAGAAGAAATAAATTTCTACCTCAAAAATAACAAGCCATTCTAACATCCATGTCCTAAATCCTTTGTGTCTATAAGGATAAAAAGGTGTGTGTGTGCATGTGTATACAAATATACATAGTGTATATTTATATATCTCTCTATATCTATCTATCTATCTATCTATTTATATATTTATTTATTTTTGTGTGTGTGTGTGTGTGTATATATATATATATATATATATATATTTGTCCAGGCTACCCTCAAACTGTAGCTTAATCCTATTCTCAGCCTCCCAAGTAGCTAAGATTATAGGTTTGAACCACCAGTGCCTGCCTCTATAAGAATTTTTATAACAAGGAAAAACAAAAGGAGCAAAATTTGTATTCCTGAATCAGTGTAACTGTCATCTAAATATCAATAAATTTCTCTAAAAGTATATTTAAAATGTACACTGATTTAAACAACATTCTTTTGAATGACAAATGGGTCAATTAAGAAATTAAATGAGAAAAATGGAAATTTCTTGAAATAGATGAAAATGAAAACACAATATGCCCATACATATGGGATGCAGCAAGAGCAGTGTAAGAAGCAAGTTTATAGCAAGAAGTGGCTATGTCAAAAGATGCAGAAAGATTTAAAATAAAACACCTAACTATAATAAATTAAAGCACTAGAAAAGCAAGAATAATACAAACATGGAATTAGTAGAAAGAAAATAACAAAGATCACAGCAAAACTGAAGGAAATAAAGAATGAAAGCACAAAATACATCCAACAATGGGTTAATATCAAGAATAAATAAGGCACTCCAAAATCTCAATAGAAAAATGATAGTGACAATAATGAGAGCCAAGTTCAATATGGCCACTTGCCTAAACAGACATTTCTTAAATGAACACATATAAATAGCCAACAAATTTAACAAACGCTGGCCAGGATGTGGAGGAAAGGGAATCCCTGCACACTTCTGACAGGAATGTAAAGTAGCCATAATGGAGAACACTGTGGAGGGTCCTCAAAAGTGTAGAAATCCTACTACTAGACACATATCCAAGTGAATTAAAATCTCTATGTGAGAGACATCTGCAGTGTATGTTTATTGTAGTTGTACTCACAATAATAGTCAAGATATAGACTCAACCTTGGTGTCCCTTGGTGGTGAATGAATAAGTCACTGTGGTTTGTGTACATGATGGAATGTTATGAAACCTAGCAAAACAATAAAATTGTCCAGAGTCTTAAGCTTCTAATCTCAGCTATTCTCTCAAGGCAGAGATTGGGATGATCATAATTCAAGGCCACTTAAGCAAAAAGTTAGCAAGACCATATCTCAGAAAATAAACAAGACGTACTTGCACATATCTATAATCCTAGCTACCTGTGAGATGTGTGTAGGAGGATTGTGATCCAAGGCTGGAATGGGCAAAAATGGGTGCCCTATCCAATAAATAACTAAAGCCAAAAAAAAGAGCTGGGGGAATGGCTCGAGTGGGAGAGTGCCTGCCTAGCAAGCATGAGACCCTGAGTTCAAACACTAGTATTGCAAAATTAAATAAATTAATTAATCAATGGATAATTGTATAAAATCCTGCAATTTGCAGCAACATAGACAGGATTGGTGGACATCATATTAAGTGAAAGAAGTCAGGCAAAAAAAAGTCAAATACTGTCTGCTCTAATTTATATGTGGGAGATAAAGTGATTCTGAGAGAAGGAGAAAATACAATAGTGGTCACCAGAGAAAGACAAAAGGAGAGTAGAAAAAGACATGAAGAGAGGATGGTTAATGGGCACAAAGGCTTTGTGAAGAAGAGGAATAACTTTTAATATTCTATTGAACCCTAGGATACCTATGCTTGACAACAATAAGTTTTCAAAACAGCTAGTAGAGAGGTCGTTGAATGTTCCCAATCCAAAGAAATGATATGTATCTGAGGCAATAGATATGCCAATTACCCTTATCTGATCATTATACATTGTATTCATGTATTGAAATGCCACATTATACCTCAAAAATATGTCCAATTACTATATATAAATTAGGCAGAAAAACACTGAAAAATAAACGAGGTTATTTGGTAGAGCACATACACAGACTACAATACCAAGAATATCTACTAGCAAAACCTTTGCAGAAACTGTTTGCCAACTCCTGCTCTGTGTGAATGTTATCTGGATTGTATGAAGATAGAAACACAATGAAACACATCTGCAAGCCACTACAAGTAAATGTGAAATTTCACACTAATCATTATAATACTTTATATATTAATATTTTCATATAGTGTAGAACACAGCCACTCATTGGAGTACACATATTATATGAGACAAATTCCCTAAGATTTTCATTACAGATCAGACATGGGCAATTTATATTTGCCTGTTACTTTAGGTGAAGGTGTATTCTATAATAAAGGAGTGCATGTGGGTTGTCTAAAGCACATCTTTCTCTTATTTTACCTTTTCTTTGATTATTTAGGTATAATTATTACCCAGATTATAGAACCAAGGAGAAAATTAGAAATGAAATGTAACAATTTCATATTTTAATTCCTAAATTTTGCATAACACATAATACCAATGCTCTTGGTCTTGTAGACCAGAATAAATCTGGCTCAATTATATAGCAACTACAAAAGATTCACAAAAACAAATTTCCAGGAAAAAGATGATGGTAATGCAGCCAAATGCTCAGTTGCTTACTGGGGCAGAAAAGCTGATCTCTCCTTCAGAGAAAGAGACAGAGATTGACTGTTTCTTGGTATAACCAACAGAAGCACAGCTGGTGAAAGCCATGGAGGCAAACCTAAAGCAATCAGATTTTACACCAAAGGATACTAGCCCCATGCTATCCTGCAGGCAAAAATGGAATGAGTAATATTGTGATACCAACCCGACTAACAGATGTTTACCTTACTGCAGACTAAGCCTGCAATGTCCATAATATTTCTGAGTTATTTTTAAAGGAATATGAGCCTAAAACCTGTCCCTAAAGATGAATTACCAAACAACTTGAAAGAGAGGCTCCTACTTTGCCTTAACTGGCATTTGATTAGTGGAATACCATAAGGAAATCATTCAATGAATATCATGGTTCCTGGATAGGAAATAAGGCACCTAATTTTAACATAAGCGTAAGTTGCCTTAGATCTGCATGTGAATGAGAGACATTAAACAAATTATACACAAAAACAAAAGAAGTTAAAAAAAAAACCCAAAAGAATCAGAAATTAGTCTCTGAAATGAGCACATCCCATACTGGACACTTACCACAGTAGAGCAGTTTTTCGTCCGATTTGTCCTTACAATGAGGAATTCCATCACAGGTGAGTTGATAGTCAATGCATTCACCATTTCCGCACTCAAATTCTGAATACACATTGCAGGAGGAATTTTTAGCTGAAAAAATAAAAAGTCAAGATTTTTGTATAATTATAAACATTTTTGATACCATGACAGTTATATTCCATAATCTTAGTTATAAAAAAACTATTATTTATATAAATATAAAATCAAATAAAGGGCACACTTTATTTAAAGAGACACTTTTTGTTGTTCTGACTCTTCCTTTGCATTTTGGGAGTTGTTTGTGCCTTAAGAGTTGCATGAATTTTTCTTTTTTTGCCCATTGATGTATTTTATTAACTATCTGGTGACTATATGTATGGAGGAAAAACAGCAGTTTAATTTTGGATAACTCTGAATCTAGAGTATCTTTATTTCTTCAAAATATAGCCAGATAAATTTGCTTTGAACATTCTGAGAGTGTTTTGGTGTTTTCTTATTAGAATCTATTATATGTTCTGCAAAACATTATAAATTTCCAGCGAATGGAATACCCATTTTTAATATTTAACTTAAAATCCTCTCAGTCAAATGCATGGTTACTATTTGCCCCTACCTCCAACATGGTCTCCTCCCCAACTAGATTCTGATGATACCTTAATAGCAAATTCCACCATTCAGAAGTATTGAAATTGCTAAAATCATCTTCATCAGCCTCTTGCTCTAGCCATATGTGTGAGGAACAGGGGTTTATTCCATGTGTACCTTGCACACATGGCAGCGTGTACTAACATGGACAGGACTCAAGGATAAGCTGCTGGAATACAATGAAAATTTACAAAGCATGTGTACTGATGGTTAAGGGCTCCAACTTTCAACTGTCACATTGTCCCATTTCTGAATGTCAGGATTTTCATAAGAAATTAGTGAGAGATTTAAAAATGTGGTTTAAAATGTAATTTTCCTTAATTTCTAAGAATAGGACAACAGTGACAAAATACAAGAATCTTATCTACAGCTATATGTGATCCCTGATTTTAAGGGTCTCTACTGTGGAAAATAAGCCTATTTTTATTCTTCAAAAATAGGTTCACTAGCAAACTTTTAGAATTCATTTTTTGAGTGTGTTGTCTGCTTGCAGGAACTCACTCCATTGTTTATTGAATAATTGCACGTTGAAACTGAGTCATGTTAATTATGTTACATAATTATGTTGGAGGTAATTAGAATTCATTTATCTGTGCAGGAAGTATAGCTTAATTTTATAATTTGCTATCAAAATTTTTAAGCTTTATTTCAGGATATTCAATTAAACAGCCACTAATACTTTCCATGGTTTTATTTTATTATTTTTTTTACTTTTCCTAAAACTTCATAGAATATTTATATAACTGTGTACCTGTTTTCAAATTCTAATATAATTCTTTCAGTGATAATACTTTCTTAAGATAATATTCTTGGTGCAGTACAAACTTCACTATCAATCAGTATAAAGTACAATACTATTTTAGTGGAGGCAGCAAACAATTTTAAATGTAAAAATACTATTAAACATAAAAGTATTGAAAAGGATGTTTGGGGCTGGTGACGTAGCTCAGTGATATGCTCAGCACTTGCCTGGCATGCACAAAGCCCTGACTTCAAAATACAGCACTGCAAAAAAGAATGTCAATATTATTGGGTATACTCACTTTAGAGCATGAACAAAATGAAGATACTTACTGAAGTCCTATTGATATTCATGACATATCTGCTTTTGTATTTTACAATATCCTATTTACAACCTTATGTCCAAAAAAATTTGCTATGAGGAAAAATGCCATATCTATTGTTTGATAAAAATGATTGTTTTGGGGGAAATGATTTATAGGTATGTTTATATATGTACTTAATATTGTGTAAAAATATTTATATACGTATTAATATTATGTAAAAGCAAATTTTACATGAGCATGATTCTTGTTCAGGAATATTTATTTAGTGAAATAGAATTGAATATTTTCTTCTTCTGCCTAGAAACAAAAATTCAGTTCATCTGTCCTCCAACTCCCCTACATAACAATTACTTTCTTTAATTATGGTTGCTATTTCTATTTTCATTATGGATGTTGGTAAGTTTAATAATGCTGTGTAGAATGGAACCACATCATCTTTTTGTGAACAATTATGAAAACAAATGGTTTTCTCCCCCTTGCCCTCAGGTAGGTATTAGTAATTAACATTCATGAATGGTTCAGGATGAATTCATTCAGGTATAGACATAGATATACCAGAAACATTCCCATTTCTCATAGATAAATTTGACAAGAAGAGCCAACAGTTACTTTCCAATCTCCCTGCTAGACCCCAGGATTTCAGGAAAAATATACAATGGATATAGTCTGCCTCTACAATTTGTCATCCCTGAAAAATCCAATATCATTCTATAGTTTCAAAGCAATTGTGGTTGTTCAAGATGATATTTTTTGTTCTGATTCACTCCCTCTCACCAATAAAGAAGCAGATAACTTAGTAGGGGTAGTTGTATATAAACTATCTTGCAGCAACAGGCCTCCACTAAAGACAAATAAGCCCAGATGTTTTGACCAAAGGCATTGTTTTAATACTGGCCTGTTGTGACCTGTGAAAGAAACCCGGGTGATTCCCATGCATAACTAACACTCCAGGCTTACAGATGGCATCAGAACCAGACTACTACAACTGAAACCACAAAGGAAATTGAAAGACAGTTTAAGCATTTGCCTGAGCAATTCAGAGATGTGTTAGGCAATAGAAAAAGTGGGAATTTGTGACCCAAGTTATTAAAATTGGCTATCTGCATTTAAAATTCATAGGTCAGTTGAATCATTAATTTTCTGTGGTATGGTAATAATCAAACAACTTTTTACTACTTTGGTAAGAGGTGTCCTTTTGGGTTGTGGCACCAATTTGCAAAATATGAAAGTATATAGCCAGTAGAAACAAAGATCCTCCTGATGGATAAAGACCAGAAAAATGAACATAAAAATTAAAAACGCTGGTTTTTATAATGCAACTATATCCAGCTCTGCTAATTTTCTAAGATAAAATGATAAGAGATAAAAAAATGAGGATAAATAACTGTTAAAAATGACACATTTTGAGAGTGAGATCACCAGTTTCCAACAAGATGCTTCCCTTCCCACCTTTCTCCCATATAAATAGACTCAATGTTAAAGGGAAATTAACCTTTTTATGTTCCTTGCTAATTTTTCATGGCAATATTGGAACACTTGAACCGTTATTTATTTTGGAAACTTAGCTGTTAATAAGTGTATATTGTAATGGTACTAATTAAAGATTGTAATGCCTTTGGGAGGTATAAACATCCTGCAAGGCTGGAAAGTTACATTCTTAATTAACAGTTTGGAAATGATTACAAATAAGCTGCATGAGCCATTCTCACTCATTTACATACTGTGATGGACTGTGAGTGGTTTTACTGCAAGGCTACTGATCTACTGTCTGTATTCTGGTTTATTTCAGCTTTAATTAATTTTGTAATTGAATGATTCTCAAAGTCACAGCTACAAGTTTTCAGGTGATCTTTGTCTGCAGGTACTTCTTTAGTGAGCTCCAATACCTCTGAGCCCATAAACACAGGGTACAGTATTTATCACTGTCTAGGTTATTACTATCTGTCATATGATGCTATAACTACATAGAATGGTAAACTGAGTTCTGTTAATGACAGAGATATAAATCCACCAAATTTTTCATATTGGAGAAGACTGGAAATTCACGAACACACTAAAGTAATTGCAATAGGTGCATGAGCCATTTTTGATTCTCTTTACTTACTCACACATCTGTTGTCATCTAGCAATATTCGGTCCCTCTGCAGGAACAATTCACTCTCCCATCAGGAGTTAAAAGGCAGAGGTCATGGCAACCTCCATTCAATAATGCACATGGAGAAAGTTCACCTGCAATGAGGAGGCTTTGCTGGTAACATTTTCCATTGAATTTTTCTACTGTGTTAATTATAGATAAGTTGTAAACTGCTGAACTGCCTGAACCTCTTATAGATGACTCATAAACAAAGCACATTCAGGATTTTGAAAACATTCCAAACAATGAGTGCATTAGAAAAATCTGTAACATGAATGAGTATATCTTTCTAATATAGTTTCAATAATACCATGACATCAAATGAACTAGTGTCCTTAGAAACTACATTAAAATTAAGAATGGCATATTTGTATATACTACAATGAGTAGATAAATTGTAAGCTTAGATGCAAAGCATATCAGGAAGTTTCATTATCCTAGAAACAATTCAGTTTGGATTTTCAAAAATAAGAAGAGTAAGAGAGACAGAAGAATTTCAGAAACAAATAATTAAAAATGAATTGTTCTTCTAGTGATAAATAAACAAATATGGAATTTACTTAAACACTTCAGGGAATTTTGACATAATAAGTACTCAAATATTGAACACTATCCCCAAAATAAATGAGAAAACAAATTTTATATTACTAGAAAACACAGATAAATTTTTGAGAGATAATTTAATTAGGATTTTTATTTCTACTGTAACTTACAGCTGTTGGTATCATTGGCAACTGCTATGATTCCCATTGGTTGATGTGGAATATCAGAACGAAGAATTTTTGTATCTCCTCCTGTATACTTGTTGGAACGCAAGATAGTCCTTCTGCCCCAATCTGACCAGAAGATGTAATTGTCATAAACTGCCAGACTAAGGAAAGTTCCTGGCCCAGATTTGACAATCACCTGGAATAAATTAAAATATATTTTCATAGCAGAGTTATTTGTGTTCAAATGTCAATGTCCAGTTTTGTTTGAAAATAAGGATTAGTATTACTTGGAAATGATAGAAGTTATCACATAAAACCATTTCAGTATGTGGATTATCATAATGTGCTTTAGAGTTTATTTTAAAAGTTTAAATCACCATTCACATTTGCAATGTATGTGTTTAGTAGTTTAAGTGTAGAGGTTGTGTACCTCTTATCCAAAATGCTTGATCCCAGAAGTATTTTAGATTTTTGATTTCTCCAGAATGTGGAATATTTACATACAAATAATGAAATATCTTGGGGATAGAAGAAAATCCAAACATAAAATTCATTACTGATTCATGTATAGCTTATACACATAGTTTGAAGGTGATGTCATACAATATTTTTAGAGTGCCTGAGTTTTTATTATTACCAGGCACATGAGGTCAGGTGTGGATTTTTCCACATGTGGCAGCATGTCATTATTCAAAAAGTTTGGGATTTTGGATAATATTGATATTTATAGTAGGGATGCTCAACCTGTAATTCTATTTAATCATTCAGTTTATAAAAACAACTGAACTTTTATACACCAAAATCACCAGGAAAATATAAGATTAACAATATCAAAAAACATCTTTTCCTTATTTATTTATATTAAGAAATCATGAGATATACAGCAGACACTTATCAAGTTCTCAGTACTGGACAGGAAATAAAAGAACAAATACAAAGGACCCATGCTCTTCCTTCAGAAAGTTCAAGAATGAGTGATTAAACCAGATAATCATATTTTGGTAATAAATGTTGAAAAGACCAAACTTTCACTTAGACCAAGATGGACTAGAAGTGACTAAATTGACCTTTCAAAAAAAATACTAAGAACCTGAAGAAGATATCAGGTAATGAAGAGCAATGATTCCTGGATAGCTGGAAATAAATAATATGTATTATACAATGACCACAATCAGCACAAAGGACCCCAAATAGAGCCCAGAGAAATCTCTGAGTGAGCACTGTAGAAGAGGATAGTTAGGAGGAGACAATGTGGATAGATCTCACAGGGAAGAGTATGGTAATGAGAGAACTCAGCAGAGAGTTGTGTGTACCTTCAGAGGTCCTCCTAGAGCCTTTGGTTAAGTGCTGACAAGTGCATAGGCATGAATGACGAGTATCAAGGTTTACCCAGGCCCAGGAATCATGTCAGCTAATTCTGACAGCTTCAAAAACATTTTTATTAATGAGACTCTGAGTAAACTATTTGCAAGTTTTTCCTCAGCAGTGGGGACTAATCAATCCTAAACTCTCCTCTTCTCTAGTCCTGTCTAACAAACCTTAAAAACAAAACCTGGAAGGATCAAACTATTTCCAATTACCTTAATTATCTCCTAAAAAAAGCTCAGAAATTATTATGAGAATAAACAAATTTATACTACTAAATTATTCTACAAGAAAAAAAATGAAAAAGACAAATTTCAAGGTAATGACCTCAACTTATACCTTAAGAAACTGAAAGAAAAAGTATATTAAGTCCAAACTAAGAGAAAAGGAAAAAAGATTAAGGATCAAAAGAGAAATCAGGAAATAGAACACAGAAAAATCAATGAAAATTTAAAAATTGGTTCTTTGAGATCAATAAAATAGATTATACATCATGATATAGGTATTTTCCCAGGAATATAGGTTGGTTTCACATTTAAAATAATCAATCAATGTAACTCAACATATTAGCAAACTGAATAACGGGATTCATATGAATATCTCAATGTGTACAGAAAACTTGGTAAGATATAGCTTTCACTCCTGACAGATACATAGAGTAGAAATATGGATAAAAATTAAACAGGAACAAGATAAGAGTACCCATTCACTACTTTCACTCATTATCCTGGATTCTAAAACCTATTAATAAGGCAAGTAAAAGAAAGTAAAAAGCATTCACTTCGAACAATTTAGTTACAGATGACAAAATACTGCACGTAAAAAGTCTAAGCAAATTTACTCCTCCCCAAAATATTCTGGAACTAATAAATAAACAGTATAATTGAAATATATAAGATTGCTATAAAAATAATTATTTGTATTAATAATAAATAATTAGGAATTTAAATTTAAAAAATTTCAATAGCAAAACCCAATATGAAATATGAATAAAAAGAAGAAAAAGCATGTGATATTGAAAACTATAAAAAATCAATAGTAAAAATACACAAAAATCTAAATAAATAAACACATACTTATTACTCCTGGCTTGCAAATACAACACTGTTAAAAACATTATTTTTTCTTAAATTGATAAATTATTTATATGTCCCAATAAAAATCCTGCAGGCATTTTGTAGAAATTGACAAGCTGCTTCAAATATTAATGTAAAAATGCAAAGATCATGATTAGTGAAAACAATGTTGGAGAGCTTATGTTATCATATCTCAAGGTAGTATAAAATGATAGCTATTAAGACAGTGTAATGTTCCAAAATAATAGATCTATACATCAATAATATGGAACAGTAAGTCATGAACAGAGTCACGCAAGTATCAGCAAGTAATTTTTTATTAAAATTCAATGACTTCTCTAATAAATAATACAGTTTTTTCAACAAATGGTACTTGAACAAATGAATGTACATATAAATATTTTCATCCACCTCTTAACTGAAAATCATGTCAAAACTTAACTGAAAATCAGACAAAAGCCTAAATATAAAACAAAAACTATAAAACTTCTAGAAATAAACAGAAAAAAATCTTCATGATCTTGGATTAGACAAAGATTTTTCAATATTATAACAAAAAAAATCCATTAAAAAATTGATCCAGTGAATTTCTTTAAAATTTAAAACATTTTTAGATGACATTGGTGAGATAGTAAAAAGATAGGCTCAGACAATGAGACAATATTTGTAATCATAAATGCAATGAAAGAATTATGCCCACAATTTACATATAATTCTTAAAGGTCTATAAAATTAAGAAATAACACAATTTTTTAAAAGGTAAAATTTTACTGAAGACCTTTTATTAAAGAAGAACTATTCATGCTAATTAAGAATGTAAGAATAATCAACATCAATTAGATATTGGGGAAAAGTGACTTAGAATGGCTGAAACTAAAAGACTAAGCATCCTAAGGGTAGGTATGGATGCAAGGAAATGTAGGACTATAAATATAAACATATGTAAATATGTGTAGGAATATAAATTAGTACAACGAAGTTGGAAAAAAATCCATGGTCTCTTAAGATATTAAAAGTAGAGCTAGCATTTGATTTATCCACCCAAATAAATTAAAACATGAATCCATACAAGAATGTGTAGACAAATATTCACAGTAAATCCATGTGTAGTAGGCACAAATGGAACCCATTCAAATGCTTATACACAAGTGAATGCATAATCAATATTACATCAATCCAGAATTCTGACTAAATCATTTCAACAAGATTTTGCTGAAAGTTGTCCAGGGTAAACAAATTTCACCTGGAGGTTGTTGGAGGATAGGAAATTTGGTCAGATATTTTGGGTAATCAGGTACTAATGGTGAAAGATTCTGGCTAAACCAACAAAGCACCCCTTGTACTCTTAAGGACATGCCCAAGGTAGGACCTGGTGGAAAACAGCTCAGAAGATCTTAACTAGAGTTTGATCAAGGAGAGCCTCTTTCTTATTCCTAAGGATTTCTTTTAGGAATTTTCCATTTTCACTCTGCGCCTAGGCTATGAATGCCTTCTTTTCTTTTGTTTGGGATTTGGAGAAATTTTTCTCACCTACATAAAATCTCAATTCAAATTCCTATACCTATTAAAATAGTCCTGAAAGATATCAGCCCTAATTGTAACAAGTGCCTTAATAAATTTTTTGTCAGTGTTGTTTGTTTAATGCTCACAACGGTATACTACTGAGAAAATTAATTGGATAAACTGTTGATGTGTAAAACAGCACATGTGGACTTCAGAATAATTTTTGTCCATGACTAAAGTCAGGCAAAAAAGAATACATACTATAAATATAAATTCCTAGACTATGCAAACTAATTCATAGTTGACAAAATGGAGATACTGTTTCTTAGGAATAAAGTGAGACCAGGGACAAGATGGAAAAAGAGGAATTTAAAAAGGAAATGAAGAAGCTTGTAGTAATCATGGATATGCTCATTATTTTCCTTTTGAATATAAATTCAAAGTGTGTGTGAGAACTATTTCAAAATTTAATTTCTGCTGTCAAGTATACCTAAAAATTATTAAATCTAAGGATAAGAAACATCTCAAAACACATTTTTAGAGGTAACAGTAAATGTATGTGACTGCAAATAGGTTTGGAATAACAGAAAATACCAAAAAATAGATGTATTTATTGTCCAGTAGACAAATCTGAAAATACCCCTGTAAGCTGAATGTAAACCTTGAATGTCAACAAGAATTTGATGTGAATTTACTCCTGGGAAAAATGATCCAACAAACAGAGAGACATCATTTCAGGTATGGGAAGAAGATCAGATAGAGATGATAGACAGATAGATAGATAGATAGATAGATAGACAGACAGATAATTAGAGGTAAAAAGATAGATGATAGATAAACAGATGATAAAAAGATAGATTAGATAGATAGATAGATAGGTAGATAGATAGATGGATGATAGATGACAGGTATGAGAAAGGAGGAGGAAGGGAAGGAGAAAATGAGGAGGGGGGAAGAATAGAAAGGGGGAGAAGAAAGATTGAACACTTCAATGAGCCAAAGATTCCTTTGTAAGAATTTTTCTCCAAGGCTGCAGAAACTTCCAGAAACAGCTTTAAGGACTTGATGAAGTTTGTTGTTCCATTTTATTTGGTTTCATTTTGAAGAAACCTGGGCTATTCTCCTCTGACCAGATGACAAGAATGGAAGCATTGCATTTTGCTCATAGTGAAAAAATGGTCAAATCCTTACCCACCTCCTCTTCTGGAGGCTTGAAGGTCAAGATCCAATTCAGAACTAAAGAATTTCCGGA